AATCCATTTTAATTGATGAAGTTTAGATAAATTACTTTGAAGATCAAGTAATCGTCCTCGAAATTCATATACATAACCACCAGAACTATATCTTACAAATTTCCCTAAATGAAAGGTTCAAATGAATGTTTTTCTTCACATGTGGAGAAAAGATTTTGTTTAATTTGACATGGTTGTGATTTAATGCGTAATCATCTTATTATTGCCTATCCAATCATTCGATTTATTTTATCATTTATAAAACCATTTAAATTTCGAGGCAATTCTTCATTATATCATTGTTGAGCATGAATATTCGAAAAAGAAACTATTTTCTAACCAATTCCAGTATTTATTAAATTAAAAAAATGAGAATAAAATAGCCTTTATGTATACCATAAATTCGAAAATAGATGAAGAACTACTTGTCCTTTCATGTTAATAATAGAAAAAGGATATACTTACAGTTATACATAATTTATAAATCATATATAGATGGTCCAGCTATGTAAGATCCGAAAATTGATTTCAACTTTCAAATTTTACACTGTTGATGATTTAAAGAATATCTATTCCTATAAACTTATAGAGGGTGAGTGTGGATACTCATGCCTATAATCACTCAGCCCACATCCCATCCAGACCCACACCCTCTAGCGATAAATAATGTGTTATTAACAGATGAGCGCGAATAGGTGAAAGATTGATATAGTACATTCATCCAAACTTCCACTCATATCTCTTCTCTTTATAAACAAACATTACATAGATACGTAACAATAATACATTTCTAAAGAAGATTTTTCATTGATAATTCTGATTTTTATTGTTTAGATCTAATTAACGATTTAATAATGAAGTTTATTTAAAAATACATTTTTTCCTAAATAAAAGAGATGACAACAATATAGAAAATAATTTTGCTGAAAACTTGTATTAAAGTTTCAAACGTGATTAAAGTCAAAATAAAGTATCAAATTTCATTGAACAATAAATATAATCTTTAATAGTTTTCTTATTTTCAATGAATATAATTAAATCATTGATCAAATCAACAAAATTCATTTAAAAAAGTTCTTCAAATATCTATTTATTATTTTGTTAAGTCATGAATACAAAAAGCAGAAGATAATATCCAGTAAATATCTAAGAATATAATTATCTTTCATGCAGGAAATAAACAAGATCGATCGTCAATTTTAACATTCATTATACAAGTTACTTTTCTTCTTCTTCTTCTTTTTATGAGTAGAAAAGGGTGTAATACAAAGCTTAATTGTTTTGTTAAAAAGAAATATTTTCATAGTATAAGAAAGAAGAAGTTATGTATAATCGTATCATATTGTATGAAGTCGATAGTGAATTTAATTCTAGCAAAACCAAGTTACAATTGAAGCATATTCACATCCTTTACTTTCACACATCTAAACTCTGATTATAATTAACGATAAAAAGTATGTCCAAAAAAATGACGAACAGTCGAATGTATTATTTTATGAATATAATATTTAATGATGTGAGAGGAGGGATGTCCACTGGTATGCATACATTTACTACACAATTTCTGCCACTGTTCACAGTATATATAGTTGATTTTTTTTCTGTTAAAAATATCAATTATTCACAGGTACGTACATAGTTTTATTCTTTTACCTTTTCTTTATGTTCAAATAGACTGTTTCTTTGTTTACTTTTCATCCGTGAGGTATCGTTAGTAAGGTATTATAAAAATGATCTCATCATTTCTGAAGATTTCTTTCATCCCTGTTATCATATGAGTAAAGTGACCACTCACTCGCACCCTCTCTTTTATAGTATATTTTATTTTGTGTACTATATTAATTATATGACGCGACGATTATTATAAAATCGACATGCAAGAATAGACATATTTTCTCTTTTGTCAATAGATAAATATGAAATTACCCAGTTGGCTTTATGCGGATGATTTAGTTGAAGGTTTATCTGGACGTGAAGCATTTCTAAAAAATGAAGATCTGAACCCAGTTGAACGTAAACGACGTCTATGGGGACCATGGAATTTTGTTGCATTTTGGCTAGCTGATTCGATTAATGTTAATACATGGATGATTATTTCAACTATGGTTATTGGCGGTTTAGCTTGGTGGGAAGCATGGCTCTGCGCTTGGATTGGTTATACATTTTCGGCTGTTTTCATTTGTTTATCTGGAAGAATTGGTGCAACATATCATATCTCATTTCCAATTGTTAGTCGATCTTCTTTTGGCTTATTTGGATCATTATGGCCTGTTTTTAATCGAAGTTTTATGGCATGTATCTGGTATGGTGTTCAAGCATGGTTAGGCGGAGAATGTGTTGTACTCATCTTACGATCTATTTGCCCTTCATATGGAACATTATCGAATACTCTACCGGCGTCATTTGGTACGAATACACGAGATTTCATTGGTTTCATTATTTTTTGGACACTTTCATTGATCGCCATCTGGTTTCCTGTACAAAAAATAAGAATTCTCTTTACTGTTAAATCGGTTGTTGTACCTATTGCAGCCGTAGTATTCTTTATTTGGACCTTAGTAAAAGCAAAAGGTCTTGGTCCTGTTATTCATCAACCTGGTACACTCAAAGGTAAGCATACATGAATTTTTTTCAGTAGATATATCCTCGTCTAAGGTATCAAATTATTTCATATCTCATTGATTCTATACTCTAGAAAATGTTTTTTTGACTTTTATATTTGATTGAATATTTTCTTGAATAGGTAGTCTTCATGCTTGGGCATGGATGAGTGGAATTATGAGTTGTATTTCAAATTTTGCTACACTCATAGTTAATAATCCAGATTATACTCGTTTTGCTACACGTCCATCAGCTGTTATTTGGCCACAATTACTTACCATTCCGATTGGTTTTTCAATTACATGTTTCATCGGCATAATCGTCGGTTCATCGTCGAATGTAATCTTTGGTCAACCTATTTGGAATCCACTAGAGCTTTTAGGTGAATTTCTCGACTCTCAACCATCAATTGGAACACGTATTGGTGTCTTCTTTATCTCATTAGCATTTGCACTAGCTCAACTAGGTGTTAATATTGCAGCAAATTCTGTATCAGCTGGATCTGATTTAACAGCACTTTTACCGAAATTTCTCAACATTAGACGATCTGGTTATATCTGTGCTGTAGTTGGTTTAATTATTTGTCCTTGGAATCTTCTTGCCAGTTCTTCAACATTTACAAGTTATTTATCTGCATACTCTACTTTTCTTTCATCGGTTGTTGGTGTTATGATATCCGACTATTATTTTGTACGAAAAGGTTATCTTAATATTAACGAACTCTATTCAGGATCAAAACAAGGCATCTATTATTATACATTAGGTGTGAATTGGCGAGCATACGTTGCATATATTGCAGGAATTCTTGTTAATGTAGTCGGATTTGCTGGTGAACTAGGCGCGAATATTTCAATTGCAGCACATAATATGTATCATTTAAATTTCTATCTTGGATTTATTGCTTCTGCACTATTATACTACGTATTATGCAAAATAAGTCCAGTGCCAGCATGTGGTCAAAAATGGCCAAGTGAAATTATTGATGACGACGATAAAGAAATCATACTTGATACTATAACCATCAATAAAAAAGAACAGAATGATGATATTAAATTATAAGATTAGAAATTTGGATGACGGTTTTACATGATGAACACAAACAATCTTTTTTTTGACATATTGTTAGGCGTAAATAGGTAGTTTTCTTTGTTTTTTTTGGTTGTTAAATCTCGTTTTCTGAGAATCATAGTTGTTTTTTTCTTTGTAGATCTTCTCGACCACGGTTAAAATAATATAACGAATGAAAATCTATATTCAATATCAGATCAAATAGATGAAGTTAAGAGTGTAGGTGGGTGTGCATATGGATGCGGATAAAGAAAAGATTAATCCTCACTTATGTTCCGATTTGCAATTTTTTCTAAGTGTGATATTACTCTAAATAATAAATGCATAACTAATACTTGAAGTCTTTTTGTGTTCAATCATTTTTTCGATATAATTAATTTTAAAAATTAAATTTTTATTCTATTATTGATATTCACACAATTTATGTTTGTTAAAACAATCATTTATAAAAAAACATTATTCAGTAGTATATGATTTCTTGTCATTCTGTCACATAACAATCAAAAATTATCTACATAATAGATTTTTCTTACATAGTAAACAGTTCAAATTTCTTTTATCGAGTTAATTTTCTACAGTTCATATACAATGAATTGCAAGAAAGCAATAAAAAAATTATTTAGATATATTAATAATACGAGTAAAGAAGGTCAATGAGCAATATTAAAAATGACTAGTGTTTGTTTCATCCGTATGAATCATCAAGAGAAAGAGAATAGAACGGAAATCAACCGTGACGGTCATTCATTGTTTTAAAATATACATATATAACTATTTTTTGATTTTGTTTGATTTTAGACAAAGAAATTTTAGTAACAAATGGTACAAGATAATATACTTCAAAAGAAACTTTATTCTTTTCTATGATGTTTTAAAACATAAATCGCTCTATTGTGTATAAAATAATTTCACTATATAAAAAATTGACTATCATAAGGTAAAAAAAGTTATATTTTTGTCCTTGGCTATTATACTTCGTCATGCATCAATGTATCAAATAATGTGACTCGTCAAGTAATATAACATGTGATTCTTTTTCTCCATTTAGATACTATATATATATATACATACTGCGTCTATTAATATTTATTGATGTATATTTTTTTTTAAATAAAAATAAAATTGTTGGTATATTAAATATATTAAAGGTAAAATTATAGTTTTAATCTTAGTTCTATATACTGATGAAGGATGTTATATTTTTTTTATTTTTGTTTAATTTCGAAGATCTAAAATGGATGATGCAAATCGTTTGGAAAGTCTTGGATATAAACAAGAATTAACTCGTAGTTTAAGTCGTTTAACAAATTATGGAATGACTTTATCAGTAGTTAGTATAACATCAGGTATAACATCTCTTTTTGCTTATGGATTGAATACTGGCGGTCCTGTTGTTATGGTTTATGGATGGATTGTTGTTGCTCTATTTACTATATGTGTGGGTCTTAGTATGGCAGAAATTTGTTCAGCTTATCCAACTGCAGGTGGTCTTTATTTTTGGGCTGCTCACCTCGTGCCTACTCAATATAAACCAATGGTTAGTTGGTTTACTGGATGGTTTAATTTAATGGGACAATTTACCGCAGTAGCATCTGTTGATTTTGGTCTTGCAATGCTTGTTGGAAGTGTTATTTCAGTTGGTGTTGGTAATTGGTCACCTCAACCATGGCATATTGTTTTAATCCATTTAGGTCTTATTATTAGTCATGGTATATGTAATTCTCTTGGTCCTCGTGTTTTACTTTGGATAACTTATGTATCTACTTGGTGGCAATTATTTGCACCCGTTATTATCGCTATTGCTCTGTTAGCTGTGGGAAAAGGTGAACATCATACAGGAGGATTTGTCTTTACAACTTTTGTGAATCGAACAGGATGGACAAGTTCAGTAAGTAAATTATTTTACGATTAAAACAATATAAAATTTTTATTTTTCAAAAAAAAAAGATTTATGTCGTTTTAATTGGTCTTTTACAAGCTCAATATTGTTTAGCTGGTTATGATTCTGCTGCACATATGTGTGAAGAAACAAAACGGGCTGATATTGCAGGTCCATGGGGAATGATAAGTGCTCTTGTTGGATCAGTTTTCCTGGGTTGGTTCTTTCTTATTTCACTTATAACAGGTGTACGTAATTATGAATCAACAGTAAAAAGTGAAACAGGATTTGCAGTAACACAAATTTTATTGGATAATTTTGGTCGATCATGGACACTTGTATTAATGTGTATTCTATTAATAACTTGTTGGCTTTGTGGTCTTTTAACAGTAACAGCAACTTCACGAATGATTTATGGATTTAGTCGAGATAATGCTTTAGTAAATAGAATAATTCGAGTGATTGATTTATATTTTTCTTGTATTTAATTCTAGCCATGGAGTCATGTTTGGCAAAAGATTCATCCTCGTCTTGCATGTCCACTTAATGGTGTTTGGCTGGCTTGTTTAATTGGTTTTCTTTTCGGTCTTCCTTATCTGGTTAATTCAACAGCATATACTGCTATAACTAGTTTCTGTACTATCTGCATTTATGTTGCTTATAGTCTACCAATACTCTGTAAACTACTCTCTCCTATTGCATTTTCTCATGGTCCTTTTCATCTCGGCCGATGTTCATCATATCTTAATGTTATTGCTCTTTTATGGATATGTTTAATCGTAGTTCTATTTGTTCTACCTCCTGAACATCCAGTGACAGCTACTAATATGAATTATTCTTCAGTTGGCTTCGGGACCATATTATTAGTCTCTTCATTTGTTTATATATTCTCTGCTCGACATTGGTTTAAAGGTCCTCGTACTAATGTTACAACAGATAATGAATTGAAATCTTCGACAAATTCTGAAACTTAATTTTTTCTTTTAATTCAATTACTAAACGAAAAATATATAATTTAACCTATGGCAGATTTTTCTTGTCAATTGTTTTATTGAAAATTAGAAATACATGATACCTAACGATGTTTGATGAATTTAATATATTTTTATATTTAGTGTATGAAAAAGGTTCTTTTTTGTGACGCATCTCAATAGTTGCTGAAAGAATGAATGACGTTAAAATTAGATCTGTTTTTAGATTTATTTATGTGCATAGTTCGAATTTTTTTGAATTCAGTAGCTATTTTTAGTTGAAATGACTCGAAGTGTTATAGAATAGAAAAACATTTTCCTTGTTCGCTAATTAAATTTATTTTTGAAAAAAACTAGCTATTTATGACGTTTCTATTCAAGCACACGCACATAAACCTACAGAAGATATCCATGAAAATAAAAGAGAGTGAGAGAAATGAACAAAGAAAAATAAGAAGATGATGTAATACACCTTCTTTCTAACGTTGTTAGATATTGAATGAGTTCATAGAAAAAGATCGAAAATCTTCATTTAGCAACAGCAAACCTTGGCACATGATCTTTTGACGGTGACAGTTTTCTTTCTGATGACTTTGCAACATGGTTTGCAGCAGCACACAGTTTTAGTGACACAACATTTTGGGCCGCAGCAGCATGAACAACAGCATGGATCACAACAGCAAGAATCACAACAAGAGCAACAGCAAGGATCACAGCATGAACCACAGCACGAACCGCAGCCACAACCAGAACCACAGCCGCAACCACATCCACAACCGCAACCGCAACCGCAACCACAACCGCATCCACAACCACAGCCTGGCATATTAATAGTAATAATGAAGTGTAGAATAAAACTAGAGTAAGATGAGAATTGGTTTGTGAAACTATGAGAATAAGTCTGTATATATATAGGGAGTGTTTTCAATCAACAAAAACAATTCATCAATGTCCTCATATGACAATAACTAACATGAACATGTGATGGAGTTACATATGAGAAGAAATAAGTAACGCTGTGTTACTATTGCATAACATTTTTCACTCATGTAAAACAACAAAAATATGAAATTCACGCTGGTTACGAATGTTTTTCCTTTGATTTGTTTGATAGTGTCGAAAACATCTAAATTTTATTGCACATTGATTTTGTAACCACAACTCTAAAAGAGTAAATGTCATTTGATACACCTTTCCATGAAAAATATTGATTCTTACGTTCTAGTACACACACATTGACTCAATCTTTGCTCATTTAACTTACAATAAACCCGAAAAAATCCATATTTCGATATCACTTAATACAATTGAATTCAAAAAAAATGAGATATTCTCTAAACTATTTTTACTAATAAGAAAACAACAAAAGAAAAACTACATTAAATAAAGCATTTCATATTACATGTTGATATTACGAACTTAAACCCATACCCTCAAATTGTACATATGTTCAAATTTATTCCGATGGAACTGTTAAAATTTGTAAAAGACAAGCGAGTTGTTGTTTTTGCATTAAGCGCCATCGAATATTATCTAATATGATAATTTTTTTCTCATCAATATAAACTCGATAAATAAAATAGTTTTCTCTCTGTTGTAGAAGAGTTTCAATCTGATTAATTGATAATGGAAATATATGTTGATTATATGCTCGTGTCGATTTGACTTCAATATAATAAGTTTTCCCATTTTTCTTTAACAGAATATCATATGGTAAGTGAGTTTCTCTATTTTGATTTAACCATTTGATAATCACTGAATTCGATTGTTCTCGATATTCCTTCAACAAGTATTTATACACCATTTCTTCACCGATACGTCCTGTATCTAAATCTGATGCATCACACTCTCCAGTTATATGGTTCAGATTTGCAAAAGACATTAAACTTGAATCTGTTATTGAGCATATATCAATAAATTCAATATCATCAACTGTATTTTCCGATGATCCAATCAAAACAGATGTTGACAATCTTTCCCCGTTTTCCTTTCGTGGTCTCATATTTTGGATGGATAGTTGAACAGGTAGTGCTGGAAAAGCATCTATGATTAGAAAAATCTTATGAAATTTTCTCTGGCTCCACAATAGTTTTAATGAACATATATTTACCATAAAATGGAATTTGATAGTGTTGTGGAACAACTTGACACTGTGGTGTTAAAACAAGTAAATGATCGTTGTTATTAGTGATCGATGTCTCTATAGATTTTACATTTTTCACAGGCAAAACAGATGTATTTGGTTTGGATTCCGATATTAAAGAAAATTTCGGTTGTTGTAGAACATCTATCAATAGATTAACAGATGATATAACTAAAAAATACATTCTCAATTACCTGTTTTTAGTAATGGTTCTAAGATAACAATATCTTTCTTGGTTGGTATTTCAATAGAATTTGAATTGAAATGTTTTTTAATCTCTTCAATCGTTCCTTTAAGTAAAAATCGAATATTTTTTTCAAATCCTTGTATATTCAATAATTGACATAATTTATTGGGAAGATCAATAAATGTTGTTTCACTATCCCATGGTCGCTTGACATATAATTGTTTACGTTTATTATCAAAGTAGACAGTTGTTTCTCGAACAAATATCTTATGATAAAATAATTGTAAATTATCCGATTCTATTAAATCATATTCTTGTTGAAGTTTTCGATCAATTAAAGAAATAACATCTGTTGAAACACCTTCATACTTCAACCATTTTTTTAGAAAAGGTGAAATTTCAATTAATTTGCGTCGAAAATAATCAGCAGGAGAAGATTTTTCATCAGCAAGATTTAAATCATTCATTCTAATTTGTTTGATATTGAACAATTCTAAAAAGTCATGTAAATGTAAATCATTTCGATTTTTAAAATCAAGTTTAAGACAAGGAATAGCATCATTTAATGCATTATTTGCTCGATTGTCTTCCACATAAAAATATAAATCACCGGATAATTTCCACTGAATATTTTCTGTTAGAAGATATGAAGATTTTGTTCGTTCTTTTGCTGTGTTTCGTTCACCTACAGACCAATAATACATTTCTTTCAAGATATGAGAATATAATGATTGCATACGTTCAAGATTATCTTTCAAATTCTTTTCATCATATCGAATTTTCTCAATTAAATCAAAATAATCATTGATTGAAAGTTTTGTTTTGAAATTGAAAATTTCATTCCATTGTGTCTTGTTTTGTGGGATTGAAATCGATGAAAAAGACATGTATTTACTACAAAGATCTTTCAATTCCTTCTGATCAGAAAAAACATTACTGGACAATTCACATGTTTTTTCAGTAGTTGGAATACATTTGATATTCTCAACAAACCACTTGACATAATCAGAATCTTCTAATAATGTTCCATCGGTTGCACCTCGTTTATCGGCATGACCCCAATAAACTCTTATTTTTTGTGTTAATATCTCTGGTGAAATGTATTTCACCACATATGACCAGAAGAAGTTTGCAAACTCGTAATTATCTATAGAAAAGAAAAATCACTACCCACATTAACAGATTAATATATCATGTTCTTACTTTTTGTATGTTGTATAAATGTGATAGTTGTTAATTCTGAAAAAGCATCGACTGAATGCTTTCCATCAGGCGAAATGATGGATAGATATTCTTCACAAAATCCACGACTAGCTGCTTCGTAAGATGTTAATGCTCGATGATATACGATCGGATGTAGTTCCTCTTGGACGCCTAGTGTACTGAAGAATTCTCGCCATTCTGTTAAGTCTTCGTTTTTGCAAGGATGACTGGTGACATAATCGTACGATAAAAATTTATCTTCTTTTGTTTTTAAGTAGTCTTCAAGTGGTGATCGTGGTTTGTATTGATCAGAGAAAAAACATTGTTCAGCTGCTACTAAAGTTTCACGTATTGTTAATAACTTTAGTTTCTTCAATTGATCGAGTTCCTTTTTAGTAATCACCTTTTTTTGAAATAAGATAAACAACATTTTGATTGTTTTCATTGTATTTTCCATTGTAATATAAGTTGCTGCATTCGGAATAATTGTTTTATGTAAATAGACTAGATCAGTTCGTTCTTCAACACCTATATCTTTTAACCATTGTTTGATTTCTTTTTGTGCTTTTTCATTTAACCAGTTGAATATTGTTTTCTGCACAAATAAATCTTCGGAATCAACCGTTCCACTATCACCAATTGTTTCCGTAGGAAAATAAATATCTTTGATTGATTGTAAACGATTATTTTGATCCATTAGAAATGGAATCTCTTCAATCTTCATCTTTATAGAATTATTTGTATCATTCTTAGAATATTCTGTGTAAAAATAAACAATCATTTGTTTATTATTTTCGATTGAATAATTCTTAAGAAATATATCCGATTTAAACATATCAATACAGTTATTCCAATGAAATTCTTTCACACCTATTTCATTCAAGTTCGAATCATAATCAATAAATGGATGTTCAGCATACTGGGAAGAACTTTTATTATTGTCGATGATATACTGCCGCATTGCATCGATATTAATGAACTTTCGCTGTTTAGACATTGATGTTGAATCCATAATGACTTCATCAACCTAAAAAACGTTTCACTCTGTAGATTGATATGTGTAACCAACTTACTTTTAACAATTGATTTTTTCTATTAAGAATAAAATTACATTGTTTAATAGCTATAGCAAATGAATCATTGAATTGTTTTGATAAAAGATTATTGATTAAATTTAATTTCCATGGAATAAGTCGATAAGCTTGAAAACGAAATTTATTATCTTTAACTAATTCTTTTATCCATTGAAAGATTTGATCAGCTATTTTAGCAAATAACCATTGATTCCAAACCGAATCTTTAAATACAAATTTTTCGCGAAAAATAAGGAACATAAAATTTTTACCTGTATGAATTTGTTCTCGATTGACATTTGTTAAAAAGTTCGCATTTATCAATACTGGAAATTTGTATTCAAAAATTTTCGTTGGTAAATAAGAAAACAGAATTGATTCTTGTTCACGAAGTTTTTCTATTCCACCAGCATCTTTATATTTCGTTGCAAAAAACATTTCGACGTTTTTTTTAATAAAACGTAATTTATCTGGTGCTTTAGTATCTTTCGCTAATTTTTCTAATATATCATCTGGTATATCTAGTTCAAAACGTTTAATAATCCATTGAGAATTGATCTTTTTATTGATATAAACTTTTTTCAAACCATGATTTACATCACGAGCAACAGATATAGTATCAGGTTGATCGGTTAAAAATGTCAATTGAGAAATATTTCGTAGAAATAGAAACATATATGGTTGTTGTTTTAATTGTTGTATAGCCGAATAAATTTCGCCATGATTATTCAATAGAATTGCATAGGCTACATGAATTTGTTTTTGTTTCGAATTAATAAAGTTTAAAATAAGATTTGAAATCTGTTGGCCATTTGTCCATATAGGATTAATTTGCCATGGATAAATAAATTGTCGATCATTTTCTTTTTCCCATAGTTCTTGATTAGCAGTTTTCCATTCTTTATTCCATTTGATTTTATATGAAGAATCAAATCGAAAATATTCACCGTTAGAATAAATAATAACACGATCTGATTTTCCGAAAACAGCTTTGAATCCTAAACCTTTATAACCTGTTTTATCGAGATCTTTCTTTTTTGTTCCATTATTAATACCACATAAACCTTGTAAATCTTTTTCATCGAATATTTTCCCTAAAAAAAAACGAATCCTTTTTTTTGCTGAAGAACAAAATATTTCATTATTACCATCATGAGCAATAATTAGATATTGATCTTCTAGAATTGTTAGAATAACATTTCTTGCTTGAGCATCATCAGCATTTTGTATCAGTTCATAAATAAATCGAATATTATCTGTATATAAATCACTTGATAACGATTTTAATGATTCAGCTTGATTAATTGCTTGTTTAGGAAATTTATAATCTGTATTTTGTGATGAAAGTTCTTCAATATATTGTTTTAAACTCATTTTTTCTTAACGTTGTATAAAGTAGTCTTTTCAAGCTTCACTTACTCGTTTATTTCTTTTTTATATAAAAAAATAACGACACCAAAACAGACATTTGTAAAAATATTAAATAAACAGAACGAAAAGAAAAAAGAAACCAGGCGACAACGTGACGAACAGAATGGAAGGAAAAATAAGAATATAATTTTTGTCTACCATGAAATATCGCAAGCAGAAGCAGACGTTCTTCTTATTTGCTCGAAGTGAAAAGTATTAGATTGACTTACTTGAGGGTGTGATTAACTTTATATTCTTAATATAAATTAAATAATGATCAACTTTATTTAAAAACAATTTATTTTAAAGAAAAGAAAATTTTGTATAATAATCTCATGAAAAATATTAAGTTGATTATTAGTCATCTTCTTTTTCATCTTCATCATAATAGTTTGTATATTTATAATCATAATGTTTTTTCATATGAGACTTATGATGATAAGATTTTGCAGCTGTTTTTTCACTAACATTTTGTTCTTTTAATCGTTTTTGCATATTTCTAGCCATTCGAAGTAACATTGCAATCATATGTCTTTCATCATCTAAATGTTCTACTTGTTGAAGAAGTTGAATTTGTTCATCAATTAATGCAATAGCTTCATCTCTTTGACGACGATTTATTAAATCAACAATTCGATCATCCATTTCTGCTGCCACTTGAACAGCATGTAATGTTTGTACTTTTGGATCAATTTTTTTAGTTAATGATTCATCACCAACAAATATTATTGGTAATTTACCAGTAACTATGAATGGCTCACTTTGAATATCATTAGGATGATTGTATCGCAACTCATATTCAAGAACATCTATTTCTGTACCATCCGGTACTGATGCCGAAACTGTAAAATCACAAAGAATAACACGCAGATTATCAACATGAAGATCACCAAGATTTGCACCCTGAGCAGTATTTGTATAACCCCATATTTTTGTTACAATTCCATTATTGATACCACGAACAATTAATTGAGCTTGTGTACCACAAACATCAAAAACACTTTGAAGTGCATTCGTCATTAACTGAACAATAACCTCAGCTGTTTCAAGAAAAAAAAACTGCCCATTACCAGATTCAGCAATACCTTTCATTATTCCTTCATCAAAATCTTCACCAACACCAAATGAATCAATAATGATACCTTTTTCATTGTAATTTTTAACGAATCTATTGATTTCTGCTTTTGACTGTAAACCAATATTAGCTAATCCGTCGGACAAGACAAACATTCGTTTAGAATAACCAGGATGTGGATATTTTTCAAAAAGATCCGCACCACTTTTAATACCACCAGATAAATTTGTAGAACCACCAGTTGTAATTTGTCTTACTGTTGAATAAAGAGCTTGACGATTTGATGCAGGAGCATCTTCAAAAATATTCAAAATCTTATCATCATAAGCTACGAGATGAACAATATCGTCATCATGAAGTAAATCAAGTACTGAAATAACAGCTTGTTTTGCAAATTCTAATTTGTTATTTGATGACATTGATCCGCTTTTATCAAGTACTAATACAAGATTAATTGGATTTCTTTTAGTTTGTTCAGCATTTTGTTCATTTTTCTTTGTTTCAATTTCGAATCGAGCTCGTTTATGATTTACAACACCAATAACTGCATAACGATTATCAGGGAGACAATTAATATTCACGGATGCTAATGTATTCGTAGCCATTTGTAGATTTTTTGAATCTGTAAAGCGGATAAAAAAGGCAGCTTGTATATATATGGTTGATTATTACCAATGACTCATTCTGGAAATTTCATCATAATTCTTGATAGAAAAAAACCCATAAGTCATGAAACTTGAAAGCACATTTACATTTTTATTATTTATTTAGCGAATGGTGAAAGATAAGGTAACGTGTAACTCTGACTCACTTTACCTTTTACATGACTTATATGAATTGTGTCAGTATATAAAAAATAATTTTATGACTAACAAAATGTTTTTACTGTGCAACGATTAGATTTTTCATTTCATAAGTTTGAATTCGACAATAATAAAAATGAGACAAGAATTCAAAAAACGAAAATGTTGCTTCTGAAAACAATGACGAATTGAGTTTATTCTTATCATTGAAAGCAAAACAATCCGCTTTCTTTTGTTAAAGATTACAGGTGGGTGTGAGTGTATGTTATGCTATGTGTGATATTCATTCATACCACGTTCACACCCAAAACCATCTACACCTACGTCCATACTCTCACCTAACATCACTTCTGAGAAATTCACATTTTAACTTTACAATAGCAATGTGCCTTGAAGCTCCAGGTCGTCTTCCTTAATCCTAAGCCACAAAATACAGCGATAGTGTCTCGAATTTTGTCTATAGTATGCCGTTCATTTGATAGAGAGAATTGAAATCAGAGGATCAAACACTTTTCATAAACTTGTGCCACATAACTTCAACGAATATTTTGAATTGAGTTTAAAGATCCATATGACTTCTGAAAACTATAAATGTTAGTCATATTAATTTGAGAGTCAAAAAAATTTAAGTTTGTAATCATAAAATGAATAAAAATAGTCAATTTATGAATCACCATGCATTTTAATGACCATTTTCGCGTTATTCACTTGGTAGGATTGTTTGGCGCATGGATTATATTGAGTTTAGACAAATTCTCTTTCGTTATTTTATAATATTAAAAAAAAAGAAAGTCTTCATGTTATACATGTACATAATCTTTACTCAGTATTTTTTTCTTTCCTACAGACAACAAATACAGAGAATCGCATAGAAGTTTTTAAATAATTTTTGATTTGATAACGAATCATTCACTCGATATCATGTTTCTGCTCTACGTATATATAAATCAAACCATCATATATTATTATTGAAATAAGAGTAAGCGGCTATAACAACAATATCGTTATAGAAAAAAAGAAGAAAAAAATAACGTATTTTCACTCATACACAAAGATTTCAAAACTGTCGCAAGAATCATCATATTTGATGTTTAGTTTTCGATGCGATAAATGCGTGCTCTTCTACATGTAAAAGCTGATCTGATCAAGAAACTAAGTTTAAAACGACTTCTTTTTTTTTTTATAAATCAATCGTTTTTTCTTTAGTAAATAATGATAAAAATCACGAATGTGTATGCTACAAATTTGATATAGTGCTGTTTATTATTTAGAAATGCAATTGTTTAATCCTTTTTTATATCGACGTTGTATAATTATCTTTCTAATTTTATTTTGCATTGTCTCTTATCTGTATTATTTTAATTTTCAATCACAGTTTCGACTATCATGGAAGCCAACTACTCGCATAATGTATCTTGTTCGAACAGTATCAAAATATCATTCATCTCGTCTTGTTCATCTTCTTGAAACATGGATTTCACTTGTTCATGAACATGTCTATTATATAAGTGATACCTATCCACCAAATATCACTCGAACACATGTAATAGCAACAGGAACAACTTGTGGTCCTAGCTCACATAAAGTTCGAGCTCTTTGTTGTCAAACAATTCATGATTTTATATTTTATCGTCGTTATGAATCTCAATATGATTGGTTTTGTCATTTTGATGATGATCAATATGTTCATACCGATAATCTTCATGAATATTTATCTAAACTTGATTCTAATTATCCATATTATATTGGACGAAATTCTTGGAATACGAAATTTGGACGAAAAAAAAATAAAGCTTATCCAGGTGATTTTTGGTTTGCAACACTTGGCGCTGGTGTTTGTCTATCGAAACGTACTCTTCATTTACTTGAACCTTATACTCGTACTGTATCGCAATTTGTCGATGGATGTTCACGACAATGGTATCCGGATGATATTTATCTCGCTTTTATTCTTAATAATCATCTTAATATATCACTTACAAAAAATCTTCGTTTTCATTCTCATCTTGAAGGTTCACTATTTAAAGATAAACAAGAGTTTATTGATACATTTCATCAACAAATTACATTCGGCTTTGAATTACGTCGAACAATATCTCAGTACCTTCCAAATTTATTTCCTAAAAATATTGATCCACTTCGCGTGCGAACAGTTCACTGTCTTCTCTATACTCATTTTAAAGATTGTCAATCACGAATAAAAAACAATACGTTCAATATAACAAAATAATATTTATATACTTCCTTCTTTTCATCAATACCAAAAATAAATTTAGTTATTAAAAATGTTTATATAGATTCGAAAATGGGTCGAAGTTTTGTTTTTGTGATACAATCTGATCCGTGTCAAACTCTGATGTATGAGTTACTTCGAAATTAAGTGCAATCAATTCTAAGAAAAGTATTATATAAATAAATGGTTATGATAACTCGATTCATATAGGACGTCATCTATCAAATAAAGCAATCAATTAGAACTCGTTCGTTTACTATTTCATACTGCATATAACATATTTCGACTGTAGTAGATAGTCAGTCTTTCATCGTAACATGAAATCACGGAATGTATTGCGGAACCTCACCTATTTATCCATAAAATAACACGAGAAGTTGAATAGATGATAAGTATTGATTTAATAAACTTTGATCTATTTTAACAATAAAAATCGTATTCACCAAAGAACAATCTTTTTCAATGGAATCGATTCAACTATCAAAAGAGCAAATATTACTCTTATTAACAAGAAAGAAACATTCTAAACTCTTTCCATGTAAAAGAAAATCACAAAAAAATCCGATTTTACTAGATTTTTTGTGATTAAAAATCGATTAAAACGACGCCGTTTTGATCTTATTTGAAAAAACATTTAATCGATTTTAATCAGGGTTGTTACGAAACCTGTTTTTCTTCAGTTTGCAATTAAAAAGTTAGACTTCTGATAGCTTTTTGAACTCCTGGAGTTGACAAATGGTAGTTCTAGCACTCAGTCAAACTTCAACACACTTGGGAACATGACATCAATACATGATCGCTCACGTATATCAAACTGCCAATATATTAGATTAAAATTGGATTCTTCTTTGAATACACATATTATATAAATATATATAATACCAAAAAATAATAAGACTTGCATTTGAATAATTTTACTAACTTTGTTGTTTTTATCTGAATAAGCATTGCGCACAATATTATTGCACATACTATTTGCTTAATTTTGTCATAATTTCCCTAAACAAAATTTGATATAGAGATTGATACATTGTATAATAACAGAAGCAAATAAAGAATTCGGTAGTTCTAGCAATATTCTTATTGCAAATGAACAAGATCATAAATTCTAATCATCATTTGTTTATATTCATATTCCAAATCAACATCTTTTAAAAACACTCATAAAATACATATTCATCTTTGATTCTATTCTTTTCCTATGTTCATAAGTTTCCATGTAAAAAAATACGATTTTTACTGATTTTTATTTGCGATTAAAATGAGACGATTTTCATCTGATATATTAACATTTAGGTTTACACGCATAACGATGAATTGATGTTATGTTTTCAAGTATGTTGAAAGTCGACTGAGTGCTAGAACTACTATTTGTCAACGCGAGGTATACAAAAAAGCTATTAGAAGTCTGAGTTTCTAATTGCAAACTGAAGAAAAACACGTTTCATAACTACCGTGATTAGAATCGATTAAATATGAAATAACCGATTACAATTTCTGTTCAAATACGATTAAAATCGTCTCATTTTAATCGATTTCGAATCACAAAAAATTCGAATAAAATCGGAGTTTTTGTGATTCTTTTTTACGTGGGTTAAGATTCTTTCTCTGTACATAAAAACAAATGATCAAAACATTTTCAACAGCGTTTACAACAAATAATCATCTCTCTTTTCCAATAAATCATTTATCTATATTTCTTTGTTTTTTATGTTGTCTTTTTTAGATTTCAGCTACATATATTATCATCATATTCATTTTTCAATATTTGTGATTCTTATGATACTTTATATAGAATTACAAAAATAATATCAAGTATCAGATCGTTTTTAACTCATAATAACATCATCTGATCGATTATAACTGAATCTATTGAACAAAAATTATTCGTTTTAGAAAACAATTTTGCTCTTTCCAAATATAAAGATAAAGAACTATTCTTTATTTTTCTATAACAATATAACTGAAAATAAACAACAAACAAATTCTTTTTCTAGAAACTTCAATTACTAACATTAGCTAAATTAATTTCATATTTGATAATTTTATCTAAAATATTTTTTACTTCAGGCAAGAAAAATGGTTTTCAAAAACGAACAGTTACATGAAAAATAAGGACATAAAGTACTTAAAAGAGTATTAAAAAAATAATCGAATCTCTTATTTACCTTCGAAAAGTTGTGCGTAATGAATGAATTCCTATAGAGAAATTATCAAATAAAGATGAATCTGTTCAAGTGATGTTTTATTTTACCTTTGTCAATCAAACAACTTCATAAGACTGATCAGGTACTTTCTATATCGAATGAAAAATCGTCATAATTTTGCTTATTCTGAAAGAACAGAAGCGAAGGATCTTTAATGAAATGAAAATGATAGACATAGAAAATCAACATTTGAATAAATTTGAATGAATAAATCAAAAAAAGAAATGGATTTCTGATTTCAAGAACACAAACAAGTGTCGAGAGAAACAGTTTTATGCTCTTCCACCTAAAAGAGAAATGTAAGAAGTAATGAGGAAAAAGGAGTAAAGAAAAATCAGTCATTGTTGTGCATACTTTGTTGTTTTCTTCGATCACATAAAAAATAATGCGGTCTATCATCGTCCTATTTCTCATCATGTCCATTTCATCTGTAAAAGGTTTGTTAGATTATCTTTTTTCATTTGATTCTATCATAATATAAATGAATTCCATAGGACAAACGATACAGTTACCTGATTATTCTTGTAGTGAAAATGATGTTTCTATTCAGTTTATATTATCTTCATCAGCTCATTCAGCTTGGAATTCCGCTGCAAATTGTTCTTTGCAACAATGTAATGTAAACTTAACTAATAATATGAATAATTGTCTTTCATCATCAACATCTTGCTTCAATTATCGAACAATAAATAATATTACTTATTGTGCACCTGGTATTTTATGTTCAATATTAGAAAGATGTAACAATATTACACAAATATGTTCATCAAATAATTCAATATGTATCACTAATTCATGTTGTTCATCACAAGCAGTATGTTTACCATTCTTAGCAACACAAATGTGTGAAGGAGGTACTATTATATAGATTATTTACATTTTAGACTTCATCAAAATCAATAGGAACAATTCATTTTAGCCATAGTCGTAGATAAAGTATCATTCATTCACTTGTACAAAACCTCTGTCGAATGATACTTTTCTCATAGTGAAGAGTAATTGTAATAGATAGGCTAATATAGATCTATGATATTCATTGTTAGTTAACAATAGAAACGAAAGAGAAATGAAAAACTGAACTATGTTGAAGTGTTGAGTTTAGTTAGTGAATGTGACATTAATAGAAGTTCATATATGATTTAGTTGGGGCAATAAGAGATTATAGTTTCATAATAAATCAATTTTGCTTGTGTTTTGTGGCTGTGGTGAAATATTTTGTAGAACAAAATTTTGTAACATCGCTTTCATATTCACACTAGTTTGTAGAATGAACTCTGCTCTACAAAATGGTCAATTTACTATTCTCGTTTCATGTTTTCTGAGCTATAGTAAAAGTGATTTTTTTTTATTCCCTAGTTCCTTCTTCGCCATTTATTGATTATTTTGCAAGTGCTGCTACTGGTAATTCTATAAAGGTATGGAATCTAAACAATGGTTCACTGATTTTTAATCTAACTGGTCACAAAAGCAAAATTCGACAATTACATAAATTAAATAATAACAGTGTATTAAGTGGTAGTACTGATGGTGTATTCAGAATATGGGATATGAATGATCGCTCTTTTTTTCGCACATTAGATTGCTCAAGCAGTAGTACCGATGTAAAATTTGGATTACTTCCAAAAGGCTACATTGTTGGTCAGTGTGGATATAACACGTTTAATATTTGGAATATATCTGATGCAAAACTTGTGAACAACTTTAATACAAACTATTATTATGGTGTTGCAGCATTAATAGTGTTAAGTAATGGTTACATAGCAACTGGTACTTGGTTTGCCCCGTTTCAAATATTGGATCCGATGACTGGTTCATTAATAACTACATCATCAATGAGTGTTACTTCTCTCGCTTTCATACAATTACCTAATGGCAACATAGCCAACGGTGATTGGGATCATATAATAAAAATATTTAATACAACTACTGGCGAACTTGTTTTTAATTTAGTTGGTCATACAGGTCCTGTAAATAGCTTTGAATTATTAGCCAATGGATATCTAGCAAGCGCATCTTGCTATAGAGATGACAATACCGGTTATTATGGTGGTGATGAAAGAATACTAATATGGGATCCAAATAATGGGTCACTTGTTCAGATATTAACAGGACACACAGCTTTTGTATTATGTTTGAAACTATTAAATAATGGTTATTTGGCTAGTGGCGCTGTTGAAAACACAATAAAGATATGGAGCCCAATTAATGATTCTCTGATACGTACGCTAACAGGACATACTGGCCCTGTTTTCGAATTGTTATTATTAAGTAATGGTAATTTAGCAAGTCGCTCTAATGATAAAACGATAAAAGTATGGAATATAACTTCTGGCAGTCTTCTTTACACAATAAACGGAGATGTATACCCTGACTGGGATATGTTCACGCCAAGTATTAATTTAATCAATTAACCTCCGCATTCGGATTTACTATTCTGAAAACAGTTTCATTTTATCATTAATATTACATGACATTAGCTCACTATTACTTTTATATATTTAGTTATTCATTTTATTAAGCTAAATTTAACTTTTGATTATTCCACCTTTTAGTTGCGTTAGTTTTCACTTTTCTGTGTGTCGGTAAATTATATTATATTCAAGAATAAACTACGGCTATAGTTTCGAACTTTCTCAACGGTCAATCGTCAAGCAGTTTTTCGAATCAATCTATCCTTTGAATAAAAGGGTGTGAGTGCAGGGATAAGTGTGCGAGAAGAAGAGCTCTCAATACCCACACCCACACCCTCAAGATTATTTTCAATTCAATTTTTATTTTTAAATAAATTAAAACCTACAATACCAAAAAGCCAAGCTGACTATGATGCAATTGAAATAATATTTCTAAATGAAATATTCCAAAACCTATCCAAAATTTTTCATTAATCACCAAATGAATTTGGATAATGAATTATGTAAAAAATATAACGAAATTATTCTATCAAAAAATGAAACATTTGGGTGTGGGTGTCCCTTGTTCATTTGCATCCACGCCCACTCTCAAATTTTATTAAATATACTTTTTACTCTATACAAGAATAATGTTTAAAAGAAATAATGAAAATTGTATGAAAATAATAACTAAATCACTTATTTGCTTTTTAATAAATGTGTACAATGAATGAATTTTTATAGGAAAAGGATCAAGTACACATGAATCTATTCTAGAGATGCTTTCTTTTACTTCCATATATCAAAACAAGATCACATAGCTCATAATATTTTAAAGTTCGATTGAAGAAATATTACAATTTTAGTTGTAATGAAAGAACAAAATAAAAGAGTGTTTGATGAGAGTGAAAATCTTGAGGGAGGGTGTGAGTTTGACTACTGTCATGATTATTCACACTCACACCCTATTCGAACATATTCGACCGAACTCAATCACTGTAAGAGCCTCAAAACATTCGTTACAGATCCGGAGTCTGTTGATTTCACCTTGTAAAAAAGGTATATTTTGGACTATGATGTAGACCAAATGAAAAAAATGAATACTAAGATAAGAGTATAACAACATATTTGATGTTGGAGATAATATTAGTTATCTTCTACGACTTACCTGAGAGTAATAGGCAAACAGAAAGTAGCTTCGAACAATAGTATGTTCTTTTTTTTGAGTTTAAGTTACATCTAAAACATAATATGCACACCAATCAAGTTTATAGAGAACGTGTTACTGTAAATAATGGATCGCACAAATGGTGGCACCATCGTTGGTTCAAAATAATCGGTATTTTCGTTATTATTTTAATAGTTTTTGCTGTTATTCTTGCTTTGTTATTAAACTTCGTCGTCTTGGCGCCGGATAAATCAGAAACTAGTACCACTCCCGCAACATCATCATCACCACCACAAACAACAACTACAACCACCACTAAGAAGTCGGGTACGTTGTAGAGTAAAGTTTTCTGGTCTCCTTAAATAGTACTTTTAAATCAGATATAAGTAGTTGCTTTACATCCAATAGTTTTTTTATATCAAACTAAAAGTTACATAAAAAGAGCAGTGATCTTGTCCTCAGTAATTCAATCGTTATCTTAAGAAGAAACCAAGATGCAGCAATCCGTGCATTCGCTGTTTTTCATCACAATCAAAACTCGTATAGTTTTGTTGATATCGGTGCAACGAAATCTGCTTTTTTTCTTTGTTGCTTATCATTACATACCCTACTTTTAAGTATAAAGAGAACAAGAAAAAACCATTGTGTTTCAAAGGAGCGTACGCATATCTATTGCGTGGAAATACTAGCCAATTCCCCTTCTTTCTCTTTCGTGTGTAAATATAAATAGCTGTATTTGCGTATTATCAATTAGTTAGTCCGTCACCTTTGATTCATTCTTCTGCTCTTTGGATTAGTCAGAGTCCAAGTTTCGGACACAGTTTCCAACTTCAAAAATTCGTCAGAAACGAGCCGAAAAAATAAAGGAAAGTGTAAAATACACACTTTTTTTATATGTCATCCTCGCGTACGATTCTTTATTGAAAAATTCAAAATTGATTTTCGTACTGTATCAAGAATGATTTTCATTTTACGTAACCTAAAACTATTCGCACATGATTTCATCATTTGGAGAGTTTCACAAGAGACAGTCTTTCGAGGATTAAAACTATCAAATGGTTCTGTTTAGAATGGTCTGTTACCGGTAATATGAATAATGTACGACGAGACCACACAGCATCTGTATTATTAAATGGAAAAGTATTAATTACAGGTGAAGAAGGCATTAGTAATATTATTTTGAATAGTGCTGAACTGTATGATCCATCGACAGGTACTTGGACAACTACTAGTAACATCACTAATATACGATATGATTACACAGCATCCGTATTATTAAATGGAAAAGTATTAGTTATAGGTGGCGAAGGCATTAATAATAATGCTTTAAATACTGCTGAATTATATGATCCATCAACTGGTACATGGACAACTACTAGTAACTTGACTGATGCACGAGAGTGGCACACTGCATCTGTATTATCAAATGGAAAAGTATTAGTTACTGGTGGAATTGCAGGCAATAGTGCTGAGTTGTATGATCCATCAACAGGTATTTGGACAACTACTGGTAACATGATTCAGGAACGAGCACATCATACAGCATCTGTATTATCAAACGGAAAAGTATTAGTTACTGGTGGCGGCCTCATTAATTATTTAAATAGTGCTGAACTGTATGATCCGTCAACAGGTACGTGGGCAACTACTGGCAACATGACTAATATACGAGTTTACCATACAGCATCTGTATTATTAAATGGAAAAGTATTAGTTACTGGTGGAGACGACATTAATAATATTGTTTTAAATAGTGCTGAGTTGTATGATCCATCAACAGGTACTTGGAAAACTGTCGGTAACATGGCTAATGCACGATATACTCACACAGCATCTGTATTATTAAATGGAAAAGTATTAGTTACTGGTGGATACAACGGTAATTATTTAGATAGTTCTGAATTGTATGACCCATCAACAAGTACTTGGACAACTACTAGTAACATGACTAATACACGATCTGATCACACAGCATCTGTATTATCAAATGGACTAGTGTTAGTTACTGGTGGATTCGATGGCTCTAGTGTTATAAATAGTGCAGAATTATATCAATGAATTCAAGCAAATTAACTTTCAATGATTTTATTCTTTTTCTTGCAAGTAGTTCAAATTCTAAACAACATTTTAGTTAGAAGAATTATCATTATATCACGTCCGCGAACTGTTTCCTTCCATATTTTTATTGAATTATCACACACTTTTATATTCCATCCGAAATAAAAAAGAATATTTTTGTGTTTTTACTCTTGTAGATTAATTCATTAGGATTAACAAAAGTCCTGTTAGTTTTATAGCGTCGTTTTTTATAATATTTAATTGTTTTGGTAGTATTCATCGAATTTAGAATGTAAGATTATTGGCACATTTCACTAACTAGAAAACTTTGAGGTACGTTCATAAATGATATATACAGGAACATACCTGTAAATAACAACAACAGATAATCTAAAACAAAATCTATAATCATAACAGATATATGAACTAATGAGAATGAGAATGAAGATGTTGAATGTATTTTAACGGAAAAGAATCAACAATAAGACAATTTCTATTTAATATTTTTTTTGCGTTTAGTAATTATCTCATTAATAGTCTTAAATTCATCATTTCAAGCCACTCTAGAAAAAATTAAACTGATTAGTGTAGAATATCTATGGAAAAGTGTTGTTGAAATATGAAGACAACACTACATAGATTTACTTTTTCTTCGTCATTTCTATTTATTTTACAAACTATACAGCTATTCAACGTTGTGTTTAATCCTTAAGTTATGGTTTTTTTGCTTTTCGTTTCAAAACAATCTCGAATAAATTTTATTAGCCCATAAAAGTATTCAGAAGTATTTCAGAGTATGATAGCCTTCAAAACAACCTATCACACTGATGACATCTATCGATATGCTTTTTCTCATATCTGCTTGTTTGACTACAAACTATACAAGATCTTCATGCAATATTTCCTGTTGGATTTTATGAGAATCATTATTTATACTAGAAAACGCATTAAAAAAGAAAAGAAAGACAATACATCAGAATATACTCGAACGAAGTAGAACATGTAGTTACACACATAACTATCGGGGACGATGACGTGATAATGTTGCCAATATAAGAGAAAAGGAGAGGAGTCTTTTCGATGGAATCTGAATAATATTACAGTGACGATAATGTGTGCAAAAGTTCGACACACATATATATGTGTGCTCCGTAAACAAAGGGTTAGTTCGTATTGATATGAACTTTTTGAAATATGTTCTACATTTTCTATTTTTTTGTGTTTAATATAATAAAACTTGGTGAACTAATCGTCTGATTTCATTATCAGCTAATTAGTTTTGAACTATGAATCAGATCATAATGTTTTGATAACGTTTCTGCTCATCGTTCATCAATTTTCATCTTATTCGAATTCCAGTTAAAAGACAATAATCTTCCTTCTACAATAGTGAATTTTGATGTTTACAATTCAGAGTAGAGTGAACAAACTTTTAACTTGTCATCTATTCCTATTTTGGTAAAAGCAACAATGATTTCAAATAATTATAAAGATTTTTCCTTAAAAACATTATTTTTTTTGCCATCCAAATTGAAACACATAGTTCAAAAATAATAGAAAAAAATGTTTCAGAATATTTATAATGTTATTTAGATTAAAGAAAATAATTTACTTCCATTGGTATTAATGATTCCTCTCTAATGGATAATATAAAACTTGTGATTTACTTTCGATTGTTTGTCGAATTTGTGTTGTATATTTGCTTTAGATGACGAAATTCGATTAAGAAATGTATTTAAATTATAAAATGAATTATTTTCAGTTTTAAGTATTAAATTTGAAAGAGTTAATGATGAACATCTTGCACATCATGTCCATTTTGTACCTGGCAACATTATTAAAATTGAATCTGGAGATAATGTACGATGAGAACCCTCATAAAATGCTTCGATTAGTAGGATGTCATACATTGTAAATTATTTTTAAGGAATTGACAAAATTTAGATATTCTCGTTTGTCATCTATTTCTATCAACTAGAAAGCAAAACCAATCTGCCTAAAATTCTTCTATTGATTTCTTCAAGGCCTCCCCCGGTTCAAAAAAACAATTTTCTCTTCAATAATACCGATTTTGAGATTCATCCATATTTAGATAGTCCATCATCCACATTTCTGAATAGACTATAATTTACCGAATTTTCAGTGAATTTTCTGAAAAACCTATACCAAATAATTTTTTGAAAAACTCTGATTATTGAAACTATTTGAATTTATCTCTAAACCAACTTTTCAAGAAAAAATCTCCGATAATCAAAGTAAAAACTTGTTTTGCATATTTCTTGAAAGTGTTTTTTTATGTTTTATCTATCAATATTTCAAAGATTTCTCCACTATTTTGAATGCTAGAAAGCTCGGAAAGGTTTTTAAATGAAGCTAAGCTCAGCGTTACAACCTAACAAAGCATTTTGAGGGTGTGGATGTGGATGGTAGGTGAATACAGTATCTATATCACACCCACACCCTCTGGATAGATAACTGATACATGAAATTACTATTGTTCTTATTGTTATTGCATCTGTATATTATGTATTTTTCTTACTGCTCTCTCTTATGTTGCATTGTATTATGATATTCATGTAATTTGATGATATTACAGTATGCGTGTGTACTAGAACGTGAGAATCAATATATTTCATCAAAAATATGTAGTTTGTTTTTTCTGATTAGCAATGTTTTTATTAAAAAAAGTGTATGAAATGACTTTTACCCTTTTAGAGTTGTGGTCACAAAATCAAAGTGCAATTAAATTTAGATGTTTTCTACACTATCAAAACAAATCAAAAGGAAAAACGTTGGTAATAAGTGTGAATTTCATATTTTTGTTGTATTGCATGAATAGTGACAAATTGCTACTTATATTTCCCTATATATTTTTCTATCACATGTGTATCTAAGTTATTGTCATGTGAGGACAGTAGTTAATTGTTTTATTGACTGAAAACAATTTTATTCGTTTCTCTAGCTCTGTACATATATATACACACACTTATTTTCATAGTTTCACAAACCAGTTCTTATCGTACTCTAATTTTATTTTATACTACATTATTACTATTAATATGCCAGGCTGTGGATGTGGATGCGGTTGCGGTTGCGGTTGTGGATGTGGATGTGGTTGCGGCTGTGGTTGTGGCTCGTGCTGTAAATCATGTTGTAGTTCATGCTGTGATCCGTGTTGTTGCTCTTGTTGTGATCCTTGCTCTGATTGCTGTTGTGATCCATGCTGCAATTGCTGCTGTGGTCCATGCTGTTGTGTACGTAAAACTGTATGCTGCTGCAAACCATGTTGCAAAGTTATCAGAAAGAAAACCGTCACCGTTAAACGATCATGCGCCAAAGTTTGCTGTTGTTAACATTAACATTTTTGATCTTTTCCTATGAACTCATTTAATATCTAATGTACACATGTTAGAGAACACTAATAATATTCGTATTATTTTTTTTCTCTCTCCTTTCTGTCATCCATGAGAATATATTGAAGTTCTCATCTTCTTTCTTTTTCTTATTTTGTTCTCCATTTTCATTTACTTCTTACATAGTTAGAAAGAAGATGTACTACATCATCTTCTTTGTTTTGTTCACCTATCTCTCACTTCCATGTGTACCTGGATAGAATGGGTATGAATAGCTAGTTTTTTTCAAAATAAAATTATTTAGTAGATAAGGAAAATATTGTTCTTCTCAATTGGTCAATTCAGTTACAAAATGGTTTTGTAATAATAAAGAAGAAAATGTATTTGTTTGTTCTTTACACATATGGTTCCTGTAAGAGCCAGTGCAACTAAACTTTGCGCGACATACCATTGTTACTACAAAGAGAATTAAAACTTCGATAAGTTCAGTTTTATGCTGTGTAATAATAAACCAAATTGTTCTATTTTTACTTTTTGTTATACAAATGAGGTATATCAAGAGCGAGTCTGGCTGATTGTCTTGGATAAAACATGTTGAATGTAAACCGAAGCATTTTTCTTCAAATAATCAAATAGTATTGTTTCAAAAACATGCTACCCGTATTTTCTACTTTATCAAGTTCATCAGTGAAAGTATAGTGAGGTATACTTGAAACTTCTTATTATAGTAGAATGACTGTAACATTATATTTGGCTTTATACACGTCTAACTGATCGATTCTATGTCTAATTCAACTTGAGACTGTGGGTATTCACTTTATCCTGATCCACACCCACCCACCCTGAAGATATATGCAAATATTGTTTCATATGTAGAAAAGAAAAGATTAAACACAACGAATTCTTTTCTTTTCTCGTCAATATGGAATTTTTTATTAAATATGTAAAATAATTAAATGCAAGCAAATTCAAATAATTATTCATAAGTAACAATAATCAAATAAAAAGATTTTATTGTAAATATTAATGTAGAAAATACGACGAAAAGAAATAAAATAATGAAGCACAAATATGAAAATATACGCTTTATTTTTTGTTTCGTTCTGTTGCATATTTGACGTGCTCAATAAAAGAATACAATCAATTCGTTGTATTCAGTCAAATAATTAACTTACATTAAATTTAGAAATATTCATAAATTAATTAGAATAAGTAAAATCTTGGACTTAAGTATTAATTTGTATCGGTATTTAATAACATCCAGTTTTGTCAAAATATGTTTACTTTTTAAAATTCCTACTTGCGAATTTAATTAATAGAGCAAAACTACTTCGTCTTCACCTGCCTTCCAATTGTGATATACAATTCATCCATCTCTAATAAACAATGAATTTCTCAATCAAATACACAGTCTGTTACACTTTTTTTTCTATTCTCTAGACCAATCTTTTGATTAGATGGATGAATTGTGTTTACTCAAAATATGAAATTTACATTATATGTCCGAAGCCGTTGAAATGAAGTCATTATTGATTATTTTTACTATATAAAATATACATAGTTTTACTTTATTCAATTCAGATCGAAATTAGCGACCAATTCATTGACATTGTATATAATAACATATCGACAATACTCTGACTGGTCATCGGATCCAGTATCGACCACACATGGAAGTCATTCACCGATCGAACGTATTGTTTGGACAGATGATGATGATGATGATAGAGTTGATCGAAAGAAGACGTCCTTTGCCTGGTATTGGTGTTTTAGATGTTGTATTGTTGGATCATTAGTCGCTGCAATAGGTTTAGCTATTGTACTCACATTCTGGTTGACATCAAAAACAACAGCGACAGAAACATTAAGTATGTAACAATTAAACTTATTGTCTTCATCTTGATTATTTTATCTTTTTGTTCATCAAATGGAATAAAAAGATAATTAAGTACAGTTTTTAGTTGCATAATAACCTATGATGAGATATAAATGATAACTATTGACTTTGTTAATCAATTAAGAAATTGTCAGTAATTAGACAAAAAACCATTATAAGTGAATGATCCATTGAAAATATTACGTATATCATTCTCCTATTATCATTATGGATAATAGTTTATCGAAAGCATAATTCTTCGGTAATCTGATTTTTGTCGCCTATATGACATTAGAAAATGCTCATCTGGTTTTTATGTATAAATACAGTTAGTTCTATTGAAAACTTAAGATTTGTGCAGAGAGTTTCAATAAAAAAGAATGCTCAGAGTGTGATCTGATATTGGGCTGAATCCATGAGATGATACACAATATCACTTCAAAGATAAATACAAGTAGACGTTTTATTGTTTCTAAATACATTTCTTTACATGACTTTATTCTCAAACAGCATCAACAATGAGTACCAGTACGACAAGTACTAGTACCAGTGCAACAAGTACGAGTACGACAAGTATAAGTAAGGAAAACTTGCTCAACTGGTGATAAACATCTTAGCTTATGATAAATTCTAGGCACATCGACTACTTCTCAAACCACTACAACTACAAGTAAGATTTTCATTTAGATGTTGAAATATTATTATGTAACTTTCAGCAAGTACAACAAGCACCAGTACATCAACGAGTAAGTAATGTATGTATTTTGATGATTAAAAAATGATGATGATATTTATAAGGTGCAACAACGACTCTACCCATATGTAACACTACTTGTCTCAATCAAACTTGGTTATCTACAGCGTCAATCTTGGCTAAACGGCATTTTGAAAACAACTATTCTGATGACACCACTATGCATAATGGCGTTGCAACAGGCAGTCCTAGTCTTGCATTCGTTCAAGGTTACGTTGGTCAAGCCATTTCATTCGTCGCTAATTCTAATCAAATGGTGTCGACTTCGTACATTCCTTTGGCAAATACAAGCTTTTCTATAGATGCTTGGATTTATCCAACTGGTCTGACTAACTCAGACCATCAAAGTATTTGTGGTCTCTGTCCTACAACAGGACCCGATCAATGTCTGCATATGACACTTCGTCTGACGAACTCGATTTACCCACTTTACTTTGGTCTTTATTTTGATGATGTCAATACCTATACACCAGCCACTTTGACCAATATTTGGATGCATGCAGCTTTCGTATATGATGCCACAAATCGAACGCTGTCAGTCTACCGCAATGGAATTTTTCTTTCAGGAGGCTCAACCTCTTCAGGGTTTAAAGCAACCAGTGGCAGCTTTCTGATTGGCAATATTCCTATTTTGACACCGTCTGTCAATACGTTTCAGGTTTGTACTAAAACATTCGATTATCTATGTTACTATACCGAAGGATAATATTTTCACACCCAATTTAAGAAACATTCTGTTTCAACGTCTGAAAAGACATCATCAGGCTGGATCCATTTTAGCATAGAAATTGATCTTATTTCTTCAAATTATCGATCAGGTATTGTAGAGCCCGTAGGCTTTGCATCTTAGGTATAAAAATAGAGACTTTCTTTCGAAAACAAACAGATGAGTTTGATTTTTTCAATGCTAAGTTTAACTAAATTAAAATATGAATAATTTCGTTGATTGCAGGGTTATATTGACGAGCTGTCCGTTAGTGGTCGACTAAAGTCTGCGTGTGAAATTTTGGAACAGGCCACCTTGGCTGCTCGTTTCAGCTTCGATGAAAGTTCACCACTGCTTGATCTGGGGCCAAATTCAGTTTCATCTTTCGCTTCAAATTATAGTCTGGTTAGTGGTCGAACTCTACAAGCTATTTCATTCATGGGCATCTCCTCCTCGTTCTTCCAAGCATCAGGTTTTCTTGCTCTCAGCATAGCCAATCAGCCATTCAGCTTTTCTCTGTGGGTGAAGCCACAGTCACTTGCGGGGACAATCATACACGTATCGACCAATAGTTCCGGCATCGGTTTTTGTGCTCCTTTTATCGGCTTCTCATCGAATGGTTCATTAATAGTTCAAATAATGACAAATACTAGTTACGTAGCAATATCATATTCAAGTCTGTCACTGACCGATTTTACTCACATTGTTCAGACGTGGAGTTCAACAAATGGACTTCGATTGTATATCAATAATATTCTAGTTGGATCAATAGCAGCAGCAACTTATCAGACTGCTTCGAGTTGGGTTAATTATGTGACACTAGGTGGCTGTTTGAACGGCTGTATAAGCTGTTCCGCAGTTCCAGGCAATCAAGTATTGCCAGGTGCATTTGAAGGTGCTGTGGATGACTTTCGAGTATACAGTCGTGAAGTGACAGCAAGTGATGTATGCACCTTATACGCGTTTAGTTGAAACTTATAAACCAATCCATGAAGACTATGACTAGGGTGCGGGTGTGGATTCAAAAGAATAGACAGTACCCATACCCATTTTCACATCCTCAATATAAAATCTCATGACTTTTATTAAATTTATTTAACCAGATTCCTTCTTAATGTCTGTATTGTTTTATTATCGTTGTTTTGAACATATCCAGAAGATTTAAATGTTGAACTGATTCATTTCTGTGGAAAGTTTCTCAATTTTCAATTCTATAGGCCATCAACGATGCGTAGCTAATGGACATTGTTCATAAACGACTAATGCTCGTTTATAATAATCAAGTGCCAATTTACGTTGATTAAGATGTTCATAACATAAACCTATATTATTTAAACTTTTACCAATATCTTGATGATTGGGTGGTAGAACTTTTTCACGTATTAACAAACAGTTTAGTTCGTATGCTAGGGAACTTTCATACTGAAGCTGAATTCGTTTTATATCACTTAATTCTTTGAGAAATCTATCCATAGTTAACTGTTCTGGAATAGAATTAGCTTCATCAATTCTTAAGCATTGTTCATAAAATTCAATTGCACGATCATAAGATTGTTTCTTATAATAAATAAATGCAACCCAATTGAGACTATGAATTATTTGACTATAGTCAGTCGAATAAAATTCTTTGAGCATATTTGCTGCTCGATAATAATAATTCAAAAATTCATCAAATTTTCTCTGATTATATTTAATAATACCAAGACTCATAAGAGTAAATGGAATATCTGCTTTGATATGTGGAGAATTTTTCTCTTGTTTTCGTTGAAGATCACCCATTTGATTTAAACTCTCAATAATTTTGATAATTTTGGTAGTACAACGAATTTTTAGAATATTTAATGCTTTCTGTTCGAAATCAAATGCTTCATCAAATTTATTTTGATACATTAAAGCTTCACTCATATTGCTAAGATTATCAGCAATCCTTGTATAATCGGTTGGATTAGATTTTTCTGTAAACGTTATTGATTGTTGAGCGAAATCAAAAGCTTCACTAAATTGATTTTGTTTGAGACATATATGACTAACTTTATTGAAACTGCTTCCGATGCAAGTATTACCTTGTGTGGTACCGTTTTCCTTTCGAGATATTAACACTTGTTCGTGATGTTTAATGAATTCTTCATTTTCCAATATATTATCATAGTTTCGTAAAAAGGAAATTGTTTCAACATGATTAGGTGAATAATATTCTTTGAGTAGGTTTATTGATCGATGATAGAAATCCAGTGCTTTATCAAGTTTCCGTTGTCTATAGAAAACACGACCCATACTATTAAGAATGATAGCAATACGAGCCAGATATGACGGATAATATTTTTCGAGTATGTTAAGAGCTTGTTGATGATAATCTAAAGCTTTATCACAATCATTTTTTTCATCTAGTTGTGTGTCACCAATATTCGCCAAAAGAGCAACAGCCAATATGTGATTAGATAAATTAAATTTTCTAAGCATCAACAGTCCTTGATCATACATTTTTAATGATTTATCATAATTTTTTCTGTAATACTCTAAGTTTCCCATATCGAGCAAGCTCATCGCTATATCAATATGACCATTTGGATAAAATCTTTTCTGCATTATCATTGCCTGTTGAATAAGAGTAAAACTTTCGTTGTACTTGTCTTGCTCATAAAACAGAGAACTCATACAACCAAGAGTAAATGCAACCGATACATGACCTAATGGGTAATATTTTTCGTATATTAATAGAGCTCGTTGATGACAACTAAGAACTTCGTCATATATTTTTTCATTCGTTAAATAGAACGCAATCTGAGTTAAACTTGTACTAATATCTACATGAAATGAATCATAGTATTTCTCTTGAATTAATAATGCTTGTTGAAAAAAGACTAATGCTTCATCCTGTTTTTGTCTTATTCGAAAGATCAAACCAATATTGTATAAACTAATAGCAATATGTGGATGATAAGGAGAATAATATTTCATTCGAATTGCTAATGCTTTTTGATGAAATTCGTAGGATTCTTCCATTTTTCCTTGTAAATATAATATTTCACCAATAGCAGACAGTATAACAGCCGAATCTTTGATACGAACTGGTTCGTTTTTCATCATTCGTTCATACGAACGATCATAATATATTCTTGATTCATTCCATTCTCCTTTCCAATGATGAGCTTGACCAAGACCATGTTCAATCCATGCTAAATCTTCCGTATGTGAATAATTACTTAATAAATATTCAAAATATGCCTGTGATTGATTCCGTTGACTCATATCACAAATTAATTTACCAAAAATAATTGAAATACTTAAATCTTGAAATTGACGACGTGTACCATCAATATATTTTTGTTTAATTATTTGTCCATCATTAACTGAAATTAATTTAATAATCCATAATTGATCATTCTGTTGTTGAATATTATCTATTCGAAAAGTTGAATTTAAATCCAATAGAACTGTTTCTTGATTAGATAACGTATGATCAGCAAAGATTGAATTTTTGTTCAATTCAATTTCAAAGAGTACTGAAATTTGTTTTGTTGATGATGTGTAACAAGATAATCGATCAGTGTTTGCTGTTAGAAATTCTTTCACCATAATAAGTTTACCATTATGTTCTTGTATTTGATTAAATTCACTACGAGATATAAACATTCTTCGATAGACAATTCGATTTTCTTTACCGAATTGAAGATTTTGTATTAAATCACTGAGAAAATATCGTAACATATAAAGTTGTTTAATATCTTCATTTTTCAGAGCTTTGTTAATTGTTTCTCGAATTGATGGATATTTCATAAACAATCGTACAGCTTCATTTGGCTCATAATCATTAATCCAAGGGAATTGTTTTAAGATACTTTGATCTACATTTTCAAACTGTTGATCAGATGATAAATGTAAGAGAACATCAGGAAAAAGTTGATGCCATAGAAAACTATTCGATTGTTTTGATAAATCTTTATTTTCATATTGATTTTGATCGAAAAAACAGCATTGGCACATTTTCGTCTCAATTAAATTGATTTGTTTTGTAATTGCTGTAAGTAATAAATCAAATTTATCATAGATACCAAATATTTTTGAATCTTCAAATGATAAACATTCATTTGAATTGTTTGATATATCAAATAAAAAAATATTTTTTATTTGCTTAAAATTATTAAGTTGAGAAATAATCAGAAAGATTATTTCATTCTCAATTGATTTCATAAAACTAATACATAATTCGAGTTCACTATAAAATATAACTGAATCATTGATTTGTTGTTTTAAATCTTCTATATGATCATTAAATTCATTATTTGGATCAAAACAAATAATAATTATAGTCTCTTCACTTTCAATATCATTTTGTTGCTCATCACCATTTATTTTATTTTCCATTATATGTAATGTAAAATTGAATATATATATGTAAAAAGTTGTTTTTTTCCACAATAAATATTTCGTCATTTATCTTAGAAAAAATGATTGACTCCCTAATGAAGTGGGTATACTACGTGAAAAATATGAGTCATGCTTTTCATAGGTGTATTCTGTTTTACTCGGTAGTATACATCATTGATTCGAGCTACAACATCTTCTCCTTTTTCAATACATCTTGATATTTTTCTTCGATTTTCGTAGCAATGCTTCTATGAAATCAACATTCTCACAATTGAAAGATTTATCAAATAAATAAAAATACGTTCAAATTTCTTCTTATCAAGTAATTAAGATTGATTAACAGCTGTTGAATCTAATGAGAATAATAAATTTAAAATAAGACATGTTTCATAAGCTTATTTCTTCATTAAGGGATTCTTGCTTGTTTATGTTATCTAGTAAATTCTTCAATATAAATAAAGAAATGAGCTATTAAAATTCATTTGTTATCATGTGTATGAAGATAAATTGTAAATAAGTCGTTGCGTATATTACACCCATCCGCATCTACGTTTATCACTCTCAAAGTTATTTATCATATTTTGAATTGTAGAACTCGTATTATTTCTACCAATTCTTATTTTTTATTGATCAATATAAAAAATGATTTTCTTATTTTTCAATAGAATACAAGTTATTCTTTCCCGATTATTTTCTATATGGACGTCTTGGGTCACCTTTTTCTCCTCCCTTTCTTGTTTGTCCTTTTTCATGTTTTTGTTGAGGTGATGGACGTGCATTTTTTGTATGTTGTTTGCCACCACCACTACCACCTCTACCACACCCACAACCACGCGCTCTTTTCACTCGGCATCTATAAAATATAAAGTAATCTGCCATAGTAAATGAAAAATAAGATGAAAGATAAGGACTATTCTATGCATTTGTAGAAAAATACTTACTTTAGTAGTATCAGTTGAATCTATAGGTTAAAATCTGACTACTCTTAACATACTTTCATGCATATACACGAACAGAAAATAATCTTACATGAAATAGCAAAAGTTAAGTTCTACGAGCATTACTTACTGTATAAACGAAGAGCGTTCGTCTGTTCCATCCATAGGTTTAACATAAGTTGATTCAAACTGATTATTAATAGCAGAATCCAATAGTCCTAAGAAGATTAAAAAAACGTTATTCACAAATGTCTGACACTACTGATCGCACCATTATATTCAACACTATGTAACATACCTTCTGTTGCTTGTTCATCCATTTCTTCAGCAAAATCAGCAACAATTAGTACTGTAATAACCAATATCAATAATATATATCGCATTATTTTACCGATTGAGATCTATACAGCTTGAAAATAAAAGTAAAGTTACAGTATGAAAATGCTATTTTTTGTTGCAATATAAATACAAATCTAATCAGTATAGGTCAATTGCGCAGAATATGCTGTCATAGTTCATATAGAACTGTAATAAGTTATTCACCTTTTCACGAAATGTCGAACGTTGTTTTTCTCATTTGTTTTTGGTGAATCAATCGTTTGAATTTTGACATTTACACTATAATTGCATATTTTACTTTTATATGTTTGATTGTGTCAGTACTTTTTTGCCTTTATCAAATGGAAGAGTAATACGTAATATTTTTTTTCAACGCAAATTTTGCTAGTAAAAATATGTATTTATTGGCCTATTCAGGCAGTTTATTTACAATCAAAGATAATGCACAAAGCGAAAGGTATACAGCACAATAAAAATACAATATTAAATTAAGTACATGTAATACGATAGTAAATTTAAACTGTTACATTTTTGGGTTACTTATAAACAGTTCTCGATTCGGCCAGTAGATTAGTAACAGCTTTGATAATAAAACTATTTATTTTTCGAATACGATTTTGATATAAATGTTTGATAATTGATAGCATTCGATATTTTCTCATTTCACTTGACATACACATATAAATATACAACGTCGAGTAATCTTTTGCAACTAAATGTTTAACAGCTTTCCATAGAATATCTTTTTCTACTCCTTTGGTTATATGGACATAAAGAGAATTAGCACCAAATTATATTTCTGATAGCGCTATTATAATCAATTATAAAATCAACAGACGATCGATTTCGTTTTTCAAACGATTGTAACGATTAGTAAATGCAGAGGTTCGACTATTTCGAATGAATTCAATGACCAACACACAATATATCATTATACAAACACCAGTAATACTCTGATGAAGAAAAATCACTAGTGTATAAATGAGACATCCAGATACAGCCACACGCACCTTCTAGAACCTTTTATTGTTCGATGTCATCTTGAGGGTGTGGGTGTGGGTGAAACTGGGTGTGCATGATGGTGTAGTGTGAAGATGCGTTTTTAGTTTAATAATTTGTGGTGATACTCTTCACCACGCCCTATATCTGAACTGCGTATCAATTTTACAGTTTTTGCTTACTTACTGATTCTCTCAATCAAGATGAGCACTTTTTTTTCTATATTTTACCTAAAACGAATGCTGAATCGCCATCATCAATTATTACAAAAAAATACAAAAAACTCGTCTCGAACTAAAAACGAAATAATCACCCTCTTGAAAAAAATAGTAAGAAAAAAAATCAATCTCGAAAAAGATTAAGAAACTATATCAATAATTGCTTTTTCTTTTTTGACAATAATATCAATTTTATGCATTTAGCTACGTCATATATATCAAAATAAGTATTTCTTTGAATCTCAATCTTTGAAATCATAAATCTAAATACCGATAAAGATTTTAATAAAAATTTTGTTTTTATTTCATTATTTATACTTAAAATTGTCAAATAAAAATCATACATCGATATTGAAAGTTTCAATTTGAAACTTTTAATAAAATACTATATCTTCAACTTATATTATTCTTCGTCGAATTCATTCGATATTATATCTCTTGACGAAAAAATTCATAAAGAAAATAAGCACAAAACTAATAAATTAATGAAAATATTTCATATGTCAAAAAATTGCTGTCAAAGAAAAAAAAAGTTATATTATGTTTTCAATGTCAAATCAATGACATACAGTTCAAAATAATTTAAACTTATCTATAAAAGATTCATTTTTTTTCTTTTTTATATATAACAACACAAATATAGATAAGAAAAATCTAATAAAAAAAACAATCTATTCACTTAAGTTAAAACTAACAAAATATTATTTTCATTTTGTTATTATATTATCATTCCAAACCTAATTATATTCCTTAGTCAACTGTCATATCCATTGCTAAACATAAAAGTGTCTTCTTTCTTTATTTTGCTTGAAAACTGCGATTATATGATCCTAACAGTGCAAGATAATATGAAAAACGGAAAAGTAAAGAAAAAAGAAAATGCGTGAATCATAACGTAGAAATAAAAATATCTTTTCTAGATGTTCCTCGGAAGTACATAGGATGAGTAAATCGGAAGAAGAATTAGTTTCACATATAGACCAATCGATTCAAAGAATGATTGGACTTTGCTTTTAAATAACAATGTATGATGGATTTATGAATATTTACCAATCAATGACCAATATAAAATAATCTTTTTAACTGGAAAAATGATAAGAGAGATTTTTATCCAAATTGAAGAATGATGAATATACTACGCAAACTAAACGCTTCTTTCTTCCCTTTTCGAATCACATGATACTTTTTTTGTCATTAGATATGTGTCATTTACATCCGGGGAAAAAGTATCTATGAAGTATAGTTTCCAACATACTATAATACTTCCGCCTAAATTACCAAGGTAACGTTTTCATTGTTATATAAAAGGATGCCCCGCATTTATAAAACTACTTATTTCGAAACGAATAAAACTATATTATTACAATACAGACAAGTCAAATTATAAATGGATCGATTTATTATCGTGTCTTTGATGCTTTTAATTCTTGGTTCGACACTATGCGAGGTAAAGTTTTTGTCTTGATCGAATATGTTAACATCTGAAATATTTTACTTTTCAAATGATTAGGGTGGTGAAGCTATGTGTGGTCAAATGACTGCTGCACATACGTGTGCATCAATGGATTGCGAACCATATATGTATGTCCGTGCTGATCAATACTATCCATGCGACTGCTTTGAAATCGAAAAACTTCCACATAAAACAAAAAAATGGTATCATATTGAAACATCTAAAGGAAAGTATGGCTACGTACGCGATGAACACTGTTGGGCTGAAGTTCCAAAGTGCAAAAAATAATATCTACAATTTTGCCATCATTAACATGTGTTGTGGAGTTCTTTTTAAGAATTCTTTTATTCTATTTGTTAATGTGGATATTTTGTGCATGGTATTCTTTTTTTTTTCAAATAAAAAAAGCTATTTGACCATGCCTATACGATTTACACATGTTTTTAATTATTATATTATAGCAGCAAGACTACCCGCTGTTAGTCAGAAAAATTTGACGGTACATATTTGGTAGATGAGAAAGCGGGTGTGGGTGTGAGTGAGGATTTGAAGTATGGGTGTGACTGTTTTCCATCAACACGCGCAATCACTCATACCACCACCACATTCACACCTCTACTCACCTATTCACACTCTCACTCTCATCCACCTATCCACCCACTCGCCCACTTACTCACCCTCATGCATCCCCTCACCTACTTTCTCAACCCCTTCCAGTCCCTTCTTAACATTCACGCGCTCCCTCACCCACTTTCTCAACCTCACTCAGTCTCAGCTTCGGTCGCTCCCTTGCTGTCACTCAGTCCCTCCCTCACCCCTCCCTTCATTCGCATTTAAGAGCTAGGAAGAACGCTCATATACACATTCTTTTCCTTGAAATACATTAGAAAATTTTCGATTTTCATAAACTGAGTGATACTTCACCCAATCGCTCTCTCTCCTCTCCCCCTTCCCCTCCCCATCTCGATCTCCTCAGTCGTACCAATCCCTCTCGACCTTTCTCCAAACCTAGGGGAATACCATGGAAAGTTTGGTGACGCTAGCTAATACGAGGACCCCTGGGTGAAATCTCACCCACACACCCTCCTCCACCCCATCCCTATAGATTTTTTCTGGGGCTTAACGAAGCGTCGTGGAAAGTTTGATGATCGTAGCTATTACAGGGCTACTTGGGTGAAATTTCATCTACACACCCTTCCTCGTCACCCTCCGTCGACCTTCCTTGGGACCTGGGGAAGCATCGTGAAAAGTTTGTTGATCATAGTTATTATAGGAACTAAATGCATAGCGAACAGACAAACAAACAGACATTATTTTTTATATATAGATAGATAAAACGAACAAAGCGAGAATATCATTTAACATAGATATAAAGAATAATTCATATAAAAATTCTGATCATTTTTTTCAAAATCCAACGTCAAGTCTTTTTAACATTGAATAAAATAGAATGTTATAGCAGCAGGAAGCCAATCAAGTAGCTACACGTAGTTGAGCTAAATTTATTCAAATATGTGATTTTATTATTTATTTTAGTAATACTAATATATAATTCCGACATAATAGAATAAAAATGAGTATCAAATGACTTTTTTTATAATTGCGACAAAGCACGTCACGTCGAGAAAAAAAACAGAAAAAATCATACATTTAATACTAAACGCTATCAATCAATACAGCCAGACAATTGTCAATATTTGTTAGGAGAGCTTTATGTTAAATCTCTCATTTAACTATTTTATTACTATCATTATCATATAAGCCCAGATTTGAATAATGTCAACGTTTTTATATATAATGTTTTTTCTATGGACATTTAATGACCTACAATCAATTTTTTATGACACCGATCAATTTGGATTTGATTGTTTGCATTATTTTTCAACTGAATCAGAATTTTCTGAAATAGTGAAATATTGTATTCGTCCCAAAAATGACACGAACTCGATAGTGGCTGAAATTTTCAATATATCTGATAATTATTTAAGTTTCGATGAATTATACCGTTTGAATATAACATCACATGAAATTCTCATGTGGTCATCATCAATTGATTTGGCTGAACGCTATCAATATTATCTTGATCGAGCAACTCAATCTAATCTATCAAATGAAAAATTCTTTAATTGTACACAGCCATGGTTTGGATCACGATGTCAATATTCATTCGAATTTAATAAAGATAGATTAGTGCAAAATTCTTTTGAAATAGCTTTAACCGATGATATATTTCACCGAACGTGTTACATTCTTTTGGAATGTGATCGTGGAGGATCATCAATGTGTCTTGATTGGCGTGAGATATGCAATGGTCGAATTGATTGTCTTAATGGTGGTGTTGATGAAATTCAATGTTTCAATTTAGAAATTAATGAATGCAATGAAAATGAATATCGATGCCATAATGGATTGTGTATTCCAAAAATGTTTTTGGAAATGGAGTTTCCTGAATCACAATGTCTTGATAGATCAGATTATTTAGTTAAAACCTCTTTGTGTCTAAGATTTTATTTCAATTTCAATCTTTTTGAATGTCAAGAATTTATTTGTCGACCTGATGAAGGTAAATTTTCGTGTGGCGATGGACAATGTGTAGAAGATTATGGTCAATGTAAAAATAATCGGCATCTTTCATTAGTTCAATCAATTAGTGTTAGAGGGAACTTATCCTACAACTGTTGGATAAGTATAGTTTGTCTTACGAAAATTATGGACAAAATTGAGAATATATCATGTGATGAATTCATTCAATCTTTTGAGATTATCGAACAATTAAAAAGCTGCAAGTTTCCTCTTCAATTTCCGATTATTCCGGTACTTTATGGTCATGTAAGATTTTTATATAATTCAAAAGAGATTGACAATATTAATGTCGCATTATCTCTCAAACCTGATTATATTTGTTATGATGAACAATTATGTGATTTTCTCACACCCACGTTTCGTCATGGAACCTTGACTTGTCGCACTAGTGATCAAATGAATTTTACGATGAATTCTGCATTGACTACTTGGAAATCAATTATCGATTCAATTAAACCATACTTTGATGGTTGTATTACTCAACATCATCATATCAGCGATTCTCATCATTCATCATTATATCATTGTAAGAATTCGTCGAAATATATTTCTAAACATCGAATTGTTGACAATATATCAGATTGTTTCTTGAAAGATGATGAACAAGCATTTGAATTAAGTTGTTCATTAAATCAAACCTCTCGATTTCAATGTCCAAACGAGAAACAGTGTCGATCACCTTTATTCCCAAAAAGTATCTGCTCTTTTCCAGTACAGATAAATTATGATGATATTCCATTTTATAAAATATGTGATCGAATCATGGATTCGCCCATGGTGTTGATTGATGGACGAAATCATTCCGATGAAACTGACTGCGAAGATTGGCAATGCAATAATATCTACACACGATGTGATGGTTTTCGAAATTGTCTTAATGACGAAGATGAAGGAAATTGTAAAAATGCAATTAGTTCAGAGCATTTTCTTCTCTGTATATCGTTGCAAAATTATGCATTCATGTGTTTACCAGCCGATCAAGTCACTAATGGAATCGTCAGTTGTTTTGTAGCATCATCTGATAAATTTCAAAATCGCCAGGTGAACAATACTACTTTGGAAACATATAGATTTCGTTGTTGGAATGACACAAAATGTAGAGAACAGGAAGATCTTTGCAATGAAAACGAAGATTGTCCAATGTATGATAACGAACTATTTTGTGATAATCATCCACAATTATGTAATGACTCTGATTTCGACAATCTTATCGATATGCAATATATTTCATGTCAGGTTATTAATACACGTTATATACCTTTTTCATTAGAAACTGCATTAATCTATCCGCCAGTATATACGATTTCGAATAATCCAACTGAGAATCCGACTAATAATAAAATGATAGAATCGCCATTAGTCAAGAGTTTTTCACACCCTAAAATCTGTAATTTTGGTTTATACGTTTACTATCGACTTAGAGTCAATAATTACAGTAGTATATGTTTTTGTCCTCCGAATTATTATGGTGATCGATGTCAATATCAAAATCAACGTGTCAGTCTTACCTTAACATTGGCAACTGTTGAACAGCCAATTATTTATGCTATTGTTGTTATGCTGCTTGAAGATGACAACGATCGACAAGAAATTCATTCGTATCATCAATTCACTTATGTACCATTAGAACATTGTGGTAAATTTGTGAATTTCTATCTATTATATTCGAAGCGTGGAAAGAATAATTCAAAAAACTACAGTATTCGTATTGATGCATTCTATAAAGACTCATTGTCACATCTAATAAGTTGGCATTTAACGATTCCATTCGTATTTTTGCCAGTTAATCGGATAAGTGCTTTTTTAACTCTTCCGATTTCTCGAAAGTTCGATCCTAAACACTGTACCCTTCAATGCTATAAAGGTACTTGTATGAAGTATCATAATGAGGAACGATTCTTCTGTCAATGTAATTCAGGTTGGTCCGGTGCACAATGTCACATTCCAGTCGATTGTAGTATGTGTGCATCAAATTCGATTTGTATCGGTTCGATTCGAAATCGATCAATTTGTGTCTGTCCTTACGGAAAATTTGGTTCTTCTTGTCGTCTTCAACTAGTATGTCCAATAGGATTCTGCAAAAATAATGGTCGTTGTATAATGATCGATGAGAGAATGGTTGATGCAAGCTATAGGTGCTTTTGTTCGGAACAATTTCATGGATTAAGATGCGAAAATGTGAAATATAGAATAGATGTTTCCCTTAAAAATATCGAAACTCCATTGTATTTACTCATCTATATTTACACTGAGATTAGTTTCGAACGATTACCACCAAGATTTGTTATACTCCGAAAAATGACTATGTTTCAAAGTGATATCACCTTGTACTCTCAAGCTCAGTTCCGAATGGTTATTGTCAAGATTGATAATCGTTATTATTTGGCTGTACTTCGAAAAATTGTATCATCCAACATAGTAACCTCCATCAGTCCCACCCAACGATGTGTTGGAATTCATGAACTTTTGCCTACTAAATTACTCTTATTGCCACGAATTCAACGATTGAAAAGCTATCATATTCCATGCCAAGCTCATGTTAATTTACAATGTTTTGTCGATGAATTCTATATGTGTCTGTGTACGGAAGATCGTCATAGTAACTGTTTTCCGTTAGAACATCAACAGACTTTTGCCTGTGAAGATGATGTTTATTGCGAGAATGGTGGAACATGTTTACAAGACCAACGTATATGTTTTCTTAATATTCTATGTGTATGTGCTGATTGTTTCTTTGGTAATCGATGTCAATTTTATGCCAAAGGTATTGGACTGACATTAGATGATTTTTTACGTTATGAAATTCGACCTAATAATACATTAAATGATCAACCACTGGTTATTAAGTTGAGTGCAGTTACTGTTATGATTTTATTTCTAATTGGTTTATTGAATAGTTTCTTTGGTTATTTAGTTTTTCATAATCGTAATTGTCGAAAAGTTGCTTCGGGAATTTATCTTCGATTATCATCAATTATTTCTACACTTGTTGTTAGTATGTTAATTATTAGATTTTGGTTTGTAACATATACATATATGAATTCATCGATTAATCGAAAAATTCTTCAAATTGGATGTTTATTATTTGAACCAATGCTTCGTTTTTTCCTACATATGAGTAATTGGCTTAATACTTGTGTAGGTATTGATAGAGCAATGGCAGTTTTTCAAGGAACTAATTTTAATAAGAAAAGAAGTCGATGTATTGCACGATGGATTATTTGTCTTTTACCATTTCTTATTTTAAGTTCAATGATTTATGAATTTATTAATCGTGATCTGTTTGATGATTATGAAGAACGACGTGTTTGGTGTGTAGTTCGTTATTCTAAATCAATTGAACTATATACGAATATTGTTCAATATTTTCATTTTATTGCTCCGTTTTTAGCGAATTTAATTTCAGCTATTTTTATTATTGTATATATAACTCGTCTAAAAACGACTGTTCAATCTCAATTTAGTTCTCAACAACAATTACTCAATCAAATCAACCAGCACAAACAACTTGTTATCAGTCCTATTATCTTAGCTATCCTATTATTTCCTCGTTTTCTCATTTCATTATTATCAACATGTATTAAATCATCTCAAAATCCTTGGTTGTATCTTTTCGGTTATTTTGTTTCATTCATTCCATCATCGTTTATCTTCGTCATATTTGTTTTACCATCGACTTTCTATAGGAAAGAATTCATAAAAACAATTACTACTTGGCGACAACGACTTATGAGAGCTATTAGAGCTTGGCAGTAAATAAAAATATTGGCTATAATCTTTATGTCCACATTCGCGTATATACTTATGTTTTCGATTGTATCTCAATGTGATTTATTGTATTTGATTGTATACATATGAGAAAAACGATTTTTAAATGTCTTAATCTATGTGTCGCTTTTAATGTGCAGTTAAAATATGACTTTAAATAAATATTAAACAAAGTAGCCTCAACACACGATGGTGGTATATGGAAAAAAGGATCACACCGAAAATATTCGTTTTTAAGATAAGAAAAGTAAAGGGTGATTTGTAAGTTTCGACTCGTCTTAATAAATCAATCATATCTATATCAAAGTCATATGAAAGTGTTGATCCAATTCTGCTATTTTATAGAGAAAGAGGTGAGCTATCATTTCGATGGTGTGTGTGAGTGTCAGTACCAAAGGTACGATACATCGACACCCACACCCATACCCTCAAGATGTCCATATGGCCGATCTGTTTTACTTTTATTCGTGAACGAATGTACCCATTATGATAGAAAGATCAATAATAAAGCAAAAATTAAGAAAACTTCTTTAGCTAGATTATATTAGTGAGAGAACATAATGGATTTTAAACACATTGTGTTAATAGAATGGTCAACGCGTTGGTATTTTGACTAGTCACAGTCAAATCATACATTCCATCTTCGTTAAAATCTTGGGCGATAATCGATTGTAATTTTTTTCCTGTTGATGAATAATTTTTTCCTTGTTGAAAAGTACCGTTTCCATTGCTCAAGAACATGGTGATAGTATTGCCAATCTGATTGCTGACCGCCAGATCTACTACTGCATCTCCGTTCAGATCCTGAATTGCAATATCGATAGGGCCTGCGCCAGTTGTAGGGTATGTCGAAGGAGACGCCATTATAAATGTACCCGTACCGGTGCCTAGAAAAATACTTATCGAATTGGAATAAAAATTGCCAACAACTAGATCTAATTTTGAATCACCATTGAAATCAGCTGAACGAACAACATAAGGAAATAACCCTGTCGTATAACTAGTGAAGTTGGACCAAAGAGTTCCGTTTCCGAGGCCGAAGTAAATGAGCAGTTTATTACTTCCACGACTTACTACGGCTAGATCGATATTGTCATCACCGTTGAAATCGCCGCTCGTTATTGATGAAGGTAATGAAGCAGCTGTATAAGATTTTCCAGGAAGTTGAAAAGTACCGTTGCCTATACCCAAGAAGACTGTGATATTGTCAGAGCCGGTATTTGTTACAACCAAATCGATTTTATTGTCGTTATTAAGATCAGTGGCGATGATTGAGGACGGTAAAGATCCTCCACTAGCAAAAGTTATAGCTGGTAGCTTAAACGATCCGTTGCCCAGACCAAGAAGAATGGCGACAGTATTTGATTGTTCATTGGTTATGGCTAAGTCGAGATTTCCATCACTATTGAAATCATTAGCGACAAGCCAATATGGATTGATTCCTTTCGTGGAAAAATTCATCGAAGGTGATTGAAACGATCCATTACCAATACCCAAGAAAATTGAGACAGTATTTGTATCATAATTAGTGACTGCTAGATCCGAATGGCCATCATTATTGAAATCAGCAGATATTGCTGATTGAGGAGCTGTACCAGATGTATTAAGCATTGGCTGTTCTTTGAATTCGAGTGTGTCACATACTAAACCAAAAAAAAAAACAAAAATATATTATTAATACTGCGAGAAACAAGCATTTTTATTATTAGTAAGGGTTAAGTAAAGTCATTTGAATTTCATTTAGATAAATTGCATTAAAAATGATCCAATATACGTCTCTAAGTCGTTTTAGATATGTAAAGACATTCTAACGATTTAAAAGCGTTATTCTCTTTCATATCGATTTTATCAGTACTGAAAAAAGCAGTAGAGATGTATTACATGAGGTTATTAACATTTGTTTGAATTACAGCTACTCACTAGGCATTGGTGTTGTTGTTGATAAAACTTCTATTGGATTAAAAACATTATCTGGTCCAGATGTAAGGATTGAAAATGATCCGGTATTGTTTTCATGAAATGTTGTAAATACTAAAATGTATTTTGTATCACTTCGAAGAGCAGCTATCACTTGAAACTGACCATTTCCAGCACCATTATCATCTTTTGAAACAATATTGTATGAAGGAGCAGATGGATAAAAATTTCGTTGATACAGATAACCATATGTATCTTCAATAGAACTTGAACTTGTGAATGTATAATTTCCTGTTGTATTTACTTGTACTTCAATTGCTTCATAATAATAATTTACTCCGGAACTTCCATTACGAGTATATATTCCACTATTCAATGTTAATTCACTTGAATGCTTGGAAAAAATTATTAGTGGTTGTGTTGTTCCAAATACTATATAGAAGAATTAAAGGATTTCTATATGGTTAATAGATGTATATCAAAAATAAAATTCAAACCTGTTAAACTAAAATAGAAAATCACTTCAATATTAGATAAACTGATAAATGAATACGATGTTCTTTACCTGTGAAAAGCCAAAAGAGCAAAAACGATGATTGTTACCATTATTGCTGTCGTTTCGATATGACAAGGTTTTGATGAAATGCTTCTTAGTCTTATATACAATGCGTAAATGTACTTTCAATCCTTTTTTTCATCGATGGTAACAAAGTCCACATAGCTATCGTTGTAGTAAAAAAATATTTGATACTGTCTTTAATAACAAAACCATCAGAAAAAAAATCTAGTCACATTTTCCATTACAAAATTGTTATACTAATAGACTTTTTATCTGAATACAATACAAGTTGTTACATTTGTTTAATGTTCTTTTTGTGCCATACGAAAAAAATATTTTTCTGACTTAAACTTAAATTTCATGAATTTATCTGTTTGATGATATTCACAACTAGACAGAAAACAATATACAACATTCATGATTTTTAATCTTTAATGACCTTCGATGAAATTGATTACTATTGTTATGATATTAAATTACAATATTTTCAAAATTTTCACTTATATGGGATTAAGTTTATTTTTTCATATTTTTAATAACTTTTCTTAAATAGGAATATTTTTGTAGACGTATTTAATTCGATGAAAAAGTGATCGTAAAGATGATTGTATTTCTCTATAAATTGAAAATATGTACAAATCATTTTGCATGGTAGTTTTGTTCTAGCAAGAGAGATGTCGAATGAGTATAACAGAAATTTGAGCTATCAATAGTATTGTTGAGCTTACATTTATCTTTCGATATTTCCAAATCTATTCTTTCTCGGTATCTTTAGTGAGGATTCTTCGAATATGACTGCAATGCACGAATGATGATATTTCTGACAAAACCATCTTGAGGGTGGGTGAATATGAGTTCGGGCATCTAATTCATCCACATCACATACAACTGTCGCATGTTCATTGATCTGCCAATCAAGAAAGTAATCGTATTTTAAATTGAGGAAAAACAAGTACTCGTTTACTTGAAAAGAAAAGAATCATTAATACACATGTGTGCTTGTTCTTTTTTCTTTTCAATCCAGCCAAAAATCTGATCAAAACGTTGTTGTTACCTTTTTCTTTTCTCTTTACACGTCCTTCGTCTTCATAACTAAAAGAAATAGAAAAAGAATGAAACAACAATTAATCATCCAACATGATAAATTTTCTTTCGCCACATCCTCTTTGCTCATTTATTAAAACAAATGTACTATGGAGTACGATAAATGACAACTGAAGTATTGTTGAAGTCCCGCTTTTTCGCCCTTAGACAAAATTGATAGCGCATCTTAAACTCACATTCTCAAATGAACGAGTATTGTCTATAATTGATTTTAGTCCAAAAGTCGTAATACTCCTTCATTTCTATTTATTATTTAGTTGTTTTTTAGTAAAATTTTGAGGATGTAAGTGATATATCAATCTTACACCCATAATCCTCAGTTAAAAATGTGAATATTAAAAGAATAGGCGAAATGAATTAAGAAAATAAATTTTAAGAAACAATTTTGAAAAGTTTTATGAATTTTTTTCTGATTTTGTTTTAATATTTCAAAATGCTGTTTTGGGTCGATTTCTGAGATATTCTGCAATTCTTGGTTGACTTGCAACTAGAAGACGATTTTGTTTTAACCATGGATGGTTATTTAAACAGTTTGGATCTAATTGAAGAAGAGTTTCTCCAGCATCATAGAATGTTAAATCTGCCAATGTTAAATTATTACCAATAAAATATTGACCACCATTACCATATAATCTAGCTAAGATTTCAAGATTTTGTAAATGTTTTGGTAAATCATCATTAAGGAATTTTTGCAATTGTTCTTTTTTTTTCTTTTCGTCTTGTTCACGACGTATTGGACTAAGTATCGATACAAAATCATTAATTGTGTCAACAACAGCTTCAACTTTAGCTAATTCAAAACCATCTCTACCACCTAATAGAAATTGTCTAGCAAGGAAACGAGCAATTGTTTGTGACTGAACTAATGTTGTACCATTGACTTCGAGAACAGGCACTTGACTTAAAGGCATTTGAGATTTAAATGAAGGCCATGTATTTTGTTCAAAACGACTATCTTCAAATCTTTGACCAGCAGCAGCAAAAAGTAAACGAAGAACTTCAGCACGACCACGAGCATTAAAATAATAAAGTTTGTATGTTGCCATTTTTACGTTTGAGGGTAGTGAGAATTATCGAAAAAAGAGGACTGCAAATAAGTAACACATAATTGTATTTATACAGGAGAGAAGAAGCCCTTCACTGTACACTGCTCTATTTTTTTGCTTTGTCATCATTTCACAAACATTTATAGAGAAGAAAAAAATCACAGACTAATGACACAGCATATTTTTATTTAATTCTACAATGCATTGTCATTCATAGTTACTTAAGATATTAGTTGTTTATTTATCGATGAAACGAAATTCAGATTTCAAATAAATATGTGTGTAGCACCAATGTATAAATTATATAAATATAAAAAGAATAATTAACCCTCAAGATATATATTAAGATTATTATAAAAAAAAGTCGCTATTTTTATTATATTATTAATGGTCGATGCGCGAACGCAAATAACCGCGGAATAAATTCTCCACTTGAGAAAGTCCTATGTGGACTTTTCACAGGCGTCAACGAAAGCAATGTGCAATGCTCACGCCTCAACCTGGAGCATTCACCACTCTGATCATGAATGCATCCGTGGCAGGTAAGTATGCTTTTTATTTCATCTTTTTTACTCTTATATACCGACACAAAAAGCACAAATTGCACATTAAACTCATGAAACCGATAGAAAGAAAGAGAACACGTTGCATTTCGTCATCAACACAATTTTTTCTTTCATTCTTTTATTTTTATCAAAATTTCGAAATAAAATCTTGCATACTGCTGTTACATGTTACATAAAATTTCATATAAATACTTTTGATTTTAGTAACAAACTATCATTTTTTCCATTTAATAACTTTAAATGGTAAACGATCATTATGCAATATATCAAAATTAAAGTCAACACCCATTCTTAGCTATTTGAAAAAAAAGTTTTATTTTTCTATGACTAACTTCATTTTACCTTGTTTAGTAGGAACGTAGAAAATTGTGATAGATGACTAATATCATTTCTGCATTTTTATATTCATTGCGTAATTACATTATAAAGAATAAGTACACATTTACCATGATGGTATGTGAATCATTTATGTCGTGTTTTGTTAATATTGAAAGAATATCGGTTTTTGTTTTTTTCATAAACATTTCGTCGATTTTATTTTCAATGAAGACATACGGTAATGTAGTTCTTTAAATATATATTCATACTTTTCATTATTAAGTTGATAACATAGAAAAAAACAAAATGTTTTTGTTATAATAGAAGCAGTGTACACAGCGTGACCTAACAGTCACACACTCAAACAAAAATTTGCATCTCTCTGTAACAGCTCGACTAAACAGACTCATTTTTTTAACGAAAACAGAGGTATATTCACACTCCCAATCTATAATTACAAGATTAGTGAGAACCTTTGTTAAGTATCGCTACCGATCTAAACAAAACAATTCCATGTTTTCACATATATGAAAGATTTAATGTGCAGGGTAGTCCAAAGTTTAGTTTGCCCAAAAAAATGTGAATATTTCCATCAAGACTAGAGCAAATGAGCAGGTCTTTTTACCAACGATGGAAGCATGCCTAGATAGACGTGTTGTTAAGTAAATTATGTTATCGAAGTCAAGAATGGTGATTAACAAAAGTTCTTACCAATCCTGTTCGTATGTATTTGGATTACCATCTCTGAGAGTTAAAAATGTATAGATACAACGATAAACATTGTTATAACATAAGAATGATCGAGTATACATTTATTTAAGATCAAGTACTCAAAGAATTCAACTCTTTGCTCCATTAGTGAAAAGTAGAAATACATACCTGAGGGTCTCACATTAATATAATACGTTTTATCGAACAGCATAAGAATAGCTAATGAAATCTTTGAAGTATTATTGAAGATCAAATCATCAATTTCTTTCTAGATAGATTATTATAATGACATCATCTAAAATAATAGATATTTTAAAACCTAGAGATTATGATACAAACCCTGAGAAATATAAAAAAGTAAGTATAGTTGTTGTATCTGATACTCATAAAAATCATGAAAAATTATCAATACCTGATGGTGATATATTTTTACATTGCGGAGATTTTACAAATAGACATGATTGGTTAAATTTATCACCTGATCAAATTCCTCAATCAGTCATCGATTTTAATCAATGGTTAGGAAAATTATCACATTCACATAAATTAGTTATTTGTGGAAATCATGAACTTGGTTTTGGAAAACTTTCTCATGAAGAAATTCAATCAAAATATTTAACAAATTGTAAATATTTAAAAGATGAATTAATTCAAATTGAAGATATATCAATATATGGTTGTCCATGGCCATTTACTGAACATTATAGAACAAAATGGCCTTTAATTCCTTCACATACTGATATATTAATGACACATGTTCCACCACAATTTATTTTGGATTTAGCTTATCAACCGAAAGCACTTTCTTCAACAGAACCTTGTTCAATGTGTAATAATACAGTTCATGGTTGTTATGGACATTGGGGCTCAGCAAGTTTAATTAAAGAAATTCGTCAAAGAATTCAACCACGTGTTCATTGTTTTGGTCATGTACATGATGATCCTGGTCATAAATATGATCAAGATGATACTGGAACACTTTTTATCAATGCTGCAACCGATTTAAGTAATCGACCTTTTAAATTTAATTTTTATGTTGATTTAAACAAGCATTAATATTGATTAGTTTTGATAAATAGAATACAAGATCAACTTTTATGTTTAATGCAAACAATTTGCCGAGATTGTCTTCACCTGCTTTACTCACTTTATAAAAATAATCAATTAATGACATTGTTGTCGAAGACATAACTTTAATTTTATTATTATATTTATTTTCAACTAAAAATCTACGGCAATTAATATCAGCTAGAATCAAACGACAAAATATATAATTTTCATATTCGTGAGAAGATTAGAAATAATATGAGGGTGAGTGTGGATATGAGCGTCTCTTCTCTTAACTCACACTGCAGTATAATTAAAAATCATTAAAATCCGATGCTATTCTTTTAATAGCGAAAATAGTAAAGAATATACATTGGAGTTGTTATCAACAAGAAAAAGGTTTTGCTATCTGACGTAAACAAAGAGACTTTTTTTCATTTATAACACATACAAAGGAATGGTCACATTAATGCGATAACACAATCAGCTCTTGCCTACCTTGTATGAAAAAACAAAAGAAGCTGCATATCAGTAGAGAAACAAGAAAAGAAAACATCATACACATCATCTTAGATAAAACACAATAATTTTTTGAATATAGTGTGAAATGTTACATATTTTGATCTTCACACTTCTGTCGGTCTACTTTACCGCTGCTGCAGTACCTCCAGAGAACCATTTGGAACTCATTATTATCAACAATTCTACCGTTACCCTTTCATATGAAAATACTCAAACGTCACCTTCTACAACAGTCGATCTTGGTACTGATATTATCAAACCTAAATCGAATATCACTATAATTGCATATGTCGATCCTTCTCAACGTGGAGACGTTGTTGCTTCAATCAACTTCAGATGTGATACCAGACAAGTGTCTCTCTTCGTAGACGATAGAGTACAGGTTCATATGGGCCAATCTATTTTTCAGATAACCCAAAACGAATTAATTGTGTCGAGCATTATTTCCAAGCAAAGAGCAAAAGTCTCTCCATGGTACTTAATGTATGCCAAGGTCACACTGATGATCAACGACTACGTACTCTATTGAAGTGTTGCTATGCACAAGTGCTTTTTTTGAACTGCTTACATCTTTGTCTGTCTTGAGGGTGTAGGTTTGGTCAGGATATCTATTTTACTATTACATCCACACCCTATCGAAATTTGACTTATTCAAAATGTATTCTTTGTCATTAAAATAAATTCTATCACTAATATAAATACTGTAATATTAATGCAAACTATTTTATTAAAAATTCAAATGAAATTTCAGCATATTTTGCAACGGAAATAAATCTTGTCTTTTTTTTTCTTTTGTTCGTATTTTGAAGGTGAGCGTGGGCGAGGGTATTCTATTTATTCCACACCCTCGAGAAAAGGCTGTTTTACGAAGCAGGTAATTTGTAAAATTTGAACACCCCTTGTTTTTTTCTACTATTACCGGTCACTGCTCCAACGAGTACGTATTTGTCATTACGCACGAAGCGTAACTCGATAGGGACATTTTCGATCGCTTGAATATCGTCCGTTCGCATTGATATGATATTTGTATCGTTTGGATTTGCCGATACCTTGTAACATTTATTCTTCTCGTCGATAATTAACCATTTCTCCTGGTCGAATGGTACCTGTATTTTATGAAAAAGTGACATGGAATCCTTTTGCATACTAATCCTTTTTATCAAAGTCAGCTGATCATCACATTTTCTTAAGTCAATGAACCGTAGACGTTCATTCCACTTAATTTTCATTGCTAAATAAGAACCATCATAACTACATGTTATCAATCCTATTGTATCTTGATTGCCATAATCTAAGTCTTGTTTGGACCATCCTCGTATAACTTTCCATGTATTGGTATTTACTGATTCAAGTCGACGATAACCACGATTCAGAAATAAATAATCAGGCAAATTGGGTGATGTTGTAATGACACGTAGTAATTCTGAAGTTTGATTCTTTTGATCCGTTTTCTCTTGTTTTAAAGAATAAGCTCGAATAGACTGAATTTGAGTCAAACAATCAAATTCTATTTGCGATGTCGTCGGATTCACTTTTAATGATAAAGTATGTAACCCGAACCTGTATAAAATTAAGAAACAATCGAGAAACGAACACCAATGGATGCATGTCGCAAAATTATTACGCCCAAATTCACCCCATGGGCGCTCATCTATTTGTTTTTGATAATCAAATAGTATTAATTTGCTTTTTTCTTTCATTACAATAACTTTATATTTATCGCAGACATCGAAGAGCCCGTATTGAATCTCATCAGTTGATAATAGAATCTGATTTTCGCAAGGTTTGCATAAGGCTTCTTCAATTAAAGTACAGCCATCGTTCTTGTTATGAAACTGCTCTAAAACAGAAAAAGATAGATGTAGAATACAGTACCAATGCGAGTATGGGTGTACAAGAAGAACATATCAACACTCAGACCCCTTTTTCTGAGGTCGTTCTTGCAATAAACTACTGTACCTTTTTGAGTATTCATATTGTCAGCTAAGTCAGTTTTAACCGTCTTGAATAGATTTTGATTCGTATCATCCTGCGCGAGCTGTTGAGGATGGATTGTTTCATTATCTTTCATATTATTATCCTGTATATTAAAGTTGTTCAAGCGTTCATGCAGACTATTGAGCTGACTCTCGAAGCCTTCATTCTTCTGTCGCATTTTCGCAACATTTTGCTGACAACTGTCAACTCTCTCGATAAGATCGTGACTGTATGACTCCACCAAGTCACACCGTTTGTCGAAGTCTTTAACAAGTTGGTCAACATTCGTACTCCCAGCTTGTATTTCTATACAAGGTTGCTCAGAATCGTAATCTTCTAGCTGCACATCTTGATTCATAGGCGTGGTATCATGTGATCGACGTTCAAGTTTGTTGATACGTGATTTAAGATCTTGATTTTCAGATCTCATTGTCTTGAATTCCGTGTACATGTTGTTGATACGTGTTTCCAACTCTCGGTTCTTTGATTCCAACCGGTGTAAGAGTTGCAATGTATCAAGACCTTCATCCGCGGTTTCGGTTCGAATTCCGTGTCGATCAAGAGAGGAATTCGATTCACGAGATGATCTTCGTTTTCGGGAAGTATAACTCGATAGTTTGTTAGAACGTGCATCGTTTGATTCCATTGTTTTCGTTTAATTTGCTGTGTTAAAAATGTATTCAACTATAAAAAAAAAAAGTCATTCACATTTATTCGTCTTACAAATCCCTTGAAGTTTCTACATAATCTAGAGTAGGGGTCGGACAGTTCAGTTTAATTCAGAAGAACTGAACTATTTGAACAGTTCTTTTGATAAAAACTGATCTAATTATTTATACAGTTTCTTACAGAAGAACTTATCCTTGAGAACAGTTCCTCTCGTAGCAACTATCTGAAATGGTTCCCAGAACAGAACAATATTACTCACTACTCGGAAGTAGTATTCCCATAATAAAACTCTTCTGTTCTATTCCGGGAAAACTACTTCCGACTAGTGAGTAATATTGTTCTGTTCTGGGAATACTGCTTCTGAGTACTGAGTAATATTGTTTTGTTTTGTGAATCATGTGGGATAGTTCCTACAAGAAGAACTGTTCTCAAGGATAAACTCCTCTCAAAGGAACTGTATAAACAATCAGATCAATTCTTATCAGAAGAACTGTTCAAACAATTCAGTTCTTTGGAACTAAACTGGACGGTCCGACTCCTACTTTATACTAGAAATTTATTTACAGCTGTGTAATAGGGATCTTTCTTCAAGGCAAAAAAGTAAATGGCATTTGAATAAACTAACCGTGTAAGAACAATAGATCTGAGAAATGTGGAGTCACCTAATGATGAAAAAGAATAATTTTGCAAATTTAAAAAAACCCAGTCTGACAAGCGTCAAAAAAAATAACGTCTTTATGCGTAAAAAGCGCGTATGTTTGCTCATTAAAAAAATTCTTTTTGTAAGAAAAATAAATGTTTTCTTAGCGCGTAACAACGTCGTTTTTTTCAAAGCGTCTCCGACTGAGTTAAAACAAGTGGCAGAATGAATAATATTTAATGCAAAATATAAATGCTGCTAGATGTGTGGTTTTTTTTCTCTAGCGTGTTTACCACATTATGAGATTGTATTTCTTTCATTTTCAGCAGTTCTCATTTAGAACGATAGATATCTTATGAATACAATTGATTTTATAACCAATACAAAACCGAAATGAAAAAATAACTTACTTACTTTTCTCAGTCAACGTGTAGTATGAGAGGCTTTTCTCTCTATGTTGTATTTTACTCGAATGAAAACCAAAAACATACAAAAAGAAAGAAAGAGAAGCGAAGAATGTGAATAAAAAAACCCAGATATGATAAGAAAGAATGCGTGAAGACGTATGAAGATATGACTGTAGTACCTCCTCACCATCAAGATAAATGTGTGTCCGCACACATGACAAACCAAAAGAGAGGATGTGAGTGTAGATAATTAATGAACACTCGTTCACACCCTCTAGGATAAAATATAATCACAAATAGCACCTATAGATTCCAACTAAACAACTTGTAATTGTTCATTTTTGAATTTTACATATTGAATTCGGTCATACAATGGAAATAAAAAAGATGATACTAAATGAAACATTTTTTGAGACTTATATTACATAGAAAGAATTCCGTGATTCTTTTTTTGTTGTGTACAGCTATTAATGAGAGCTAATAAAAAACGAAAGTATTTTCGTATGTTGATATGTTTGTGTATTGTGTACTAGATCAAATTACCAATATGAAAACAGAAACGCAATGAATGATTGAAAACTGTCATACTCTTTTTTTTTATTATCTTTGAATTTTTCTTTCTAACAGAACAGATGTTCTGTTCTGTTTTTCTTTCATTTCTGTTTGATCATTAATAGAAAAAAGAACAAGCGCAGTACAATTGTATTAGCACACATATATCCATATATTATCAATGACGAAAAGTGTGTACGAGTGAATTATGGAGACCTATCGTCATAATAGTCTTGTTCACAAGCAGATCAAACAAATTTGTTCACAAGAAATTGTTACAATGAAGTAAGTTTTGTAGAATAACACTTTGCTTCGCAAATACTCTGAACTTCAAAGCTGTGTTCTTTCGAGTACTTTTTTCAATTGTCTTCAATAGCTGAAAATACATCAATCTTCGCTCTCAGAGTCAAGTATTAACATTATCTAAGTCCAATTCAGTTGAAGTTTATGAAACTCTGATTTTCAGGATTATTTTGTGAGTTTCAGCTTTTTTACGTATGTTTAATACCAAAAACATAGAAATAGTTTTAATTAAAAACAGCTGTGTCACACAGTCCCTGTGGAAGTAAAATGTAAAACACCAGATAATTGTTATTTCACTTTCCAGAAGTAACATTCTCACATATTTATTAAATAAAATTCTTGTGTGACTGTCTGATATGAACATAGAGGAAGTCGTATAAAGTGCTTATATATTTAACAACTTTGTAAAGTTCTTTTATCTTATTAGTATAAGTACTATCTATTCGAATGACAATCGTGAAGTCATACCAACAATGAAAAAGAAAGAAAAACAACACGAATATCGTCGTCGCCGTCGCCCTCGACGACCTCAAGACTACATCGAGTACGGTCACACTCGTTTTGAATGGATTCAACTTATCGCAACACTTACTGTTCCAATTGCGATAGGTATATTCACTATTCTTAATAGCTTTCAACAAATGAATCTAAGTAAAAGTCAATTTAATGTACAATTACGTATTGCTGCGGAGAATCGAGAAAAAGATCTACTCATTGCATCCGAAAATCGTCAAAAAGATTTGGACATTGCAGCAGAAAATCGTAAGAAAGATCTGAAGATAGCCGAACTCCAAATACGTATTGCGAAGGATAATCGTCTAAAAGACTTACGTATTGCGGCTGAGAATCGCAAAAAAGATTTACGCATTGCACTCGAAAATCGTGGAAAAGATCTGAAAATAGCTGAACTTCAGACCCGTATTGCAAAGGATAACCGTCAGAATGATATACGTATTGCTAATGAAACACGTTTAAAAGATCTTCTCATTGCATCAGAAAATCGTAGGAAAGATATTGAAATTGCTGCAGAAAATCGACGAAAAGATTTGACGATTGCCGAAGTGCAGGTTAATATTGCTGAAGAAAATCGTGCTAATGCAGTTCGCCTCGCAAATGAAACACGTTCGAATGACTTACTTATTGCATCGGAAAATCGTCGAAAAGATATTGAAATAGCCGAAGAAAATCGTCGAAAAGACTTGAAGATAGCTGAAGTTCAAATCAACATTGCCGATCAAAATCGTCAAAACGATATTCGCATTTCTAATCAAACACGTCAAAATGATCTTCTTATTGCATCAGAAAATCGACGAAAAGATATTGAAATTGCTGAAGAGAATCGACGAAAAGATTTCAAAATAGCTGAACAAAATCGTCATAAAGATCGAGAAGTTGCTGAAGATCAACAGAAGCACAGTGTCGTTACTGATTATCAAACCTTTCTAAGTGAACTTATTTTAAAAGAAGGTGTTCATCTGAACAATACAAATTATGAAGCAGCACGCTTCGTTGCACGTTTCAAAACATTAATTGCATTTCGTCTGTTAGATCCTAAACGTAAAACTCTCTTATTTAAATCATTATACGTCGGAAAACTGGCTGGTCGTCTCGATGAAGATATGGCGATTGATTTATCATCAGCTGATCTAAGTAACATTGATTTCGCTTCACCACGTGATCATATTGCACTGACACCTCCATCTTCACATCCATACTATTCTGTGAACTTTAGTGATACAAATCTGAAGAATGCATCATTTAATTCTGTCTCATTTTTCAACGTTAGTTTTGTTGAAGCAATGATGGATGATGTCATCATGTTGTCTACTCTTACAGCATTGATCTCATTCAAAGGTGCATCTCTCTTACGTGCCAAATTTCTCTATTCTCATTACATAAATATTAACTTCGCGACTGCCAAGTTAGATGGTTCATTCTTTGAACAGTTTGAATGTGATCAATGTTCGTTCAATTTCAGTTCGTTGATGGGTATTCGTATACAGAATTCGAAGTTTGTTAATTCAACATTTACTGATACAAAAATAGATCATTCTTTTATCATCGAAACTGAATTCAGTAATAATGTTAATATGAGAAATGTATCACTGACAAACTCAAAAATTCATAACTGTACGTTTATAGATGTTGATATGAGACAATGTGAAATGCATGGAAGTTCATTACTCAATTCAAAATTTATAAAAGTGAACTTCTACGAGTGCAAAGGATTGACTATTGAACAATTAAAGCAGGCAGCCACCATATCTGAATCAATATTACCGAATGGAACAGTATACTCAAGCAATTAGCGTTTTTTCACGAAATTAATTTACATTACTTTTTCTTATCGACTTTTTACGATTAGACATGTAAGCATGTATGTTGAAATGCGGTCTTATAATGTTCTAAGTAATATGAAAACTAAATGAAGCGGCAACTCTAAGTCAACAATAGCTTGAGAGACCATATATTGTCGAGAAAATCTTTTCTTTGATTTTACTTGAATTTGTTTGACGAATGCTGAGATTTAGCAATATATATAGTCATAACAAGAAGAAGAAAAAAGAGAATGAAGTAAAGAAATAGTCGTTGATGAACATTTGATGAGAACAGATATCGATTAATTATATTTCCCTTACCATAGATATTCCAAAGTTGTTTGTAATACTTCTTGTCAAACCATAGACAAAGTAGACCCTTCTAAATGATATAAATATATATATATATATGTATTAAAAACAATCTCGTTTGTCAATTTATCAGAACATATCTAAACAAAAGAAGTTTTCTTAGTGCAAAATAATAGAAATTTCCAGTAAAGAAGCAATCTCAAGTGGAAATGTCGGCAAATCTTTATAATAATTCTACATTAGTTTTCCATCAGATTTTATACCATGCGAAGTATTCGAAGATCTTTAATTTTCATTATCTAATTATTCTAATTGACTAACTAATACCATAAAAAGAACTGAGAATATATCAATGCATGTTAAGGTAACTGATATTGCACCATGAAATACGTACCATTACACCATGATAAATATTGTGTAAAGAATCAGAGAGAAACTAGTACCAACATCAAAATGGACTAAATCACGAAGAACTTACATCAATTCGATGCCGATCACATAATTCAGTATAACTGAACGAATTTCTCTTAATTTATTTCTTTTTAAACGTATCATATTTTGTAATTGTTCGAGTATGAGAGGAAAACTCGAGTTTTTTTCCGTGATTTCGGGGTGATGAGCACAGTTTCTGCTGTAATAGAAACATCATAGATTAATAAAAAAAGAATTTCTTTTAAAAATCATATCCATCTAATTATACCTTTGAGCTCGCATGCACCACATCCGAATACTTCCGTTGGTTCACTAATACCTTGAACTAAACTTTGTGCCGGTTTATCACAACATGACGCAATTAAAAAGCATTTCAAATATTTCATCTAGGTTTATATGTTGTAGATACAAGACCACCAATAATTATATTTTTTAATTCAAAACGTTTAGTTCCTTTGATTTCATTAATTAGCATAGTAAAAATTCATAGCAACGTTGAAGAGTTATTCGCTATTTGAATACCATCGGCATTCATTAGAAAAGTTAAAAATTGTTTTGCTTGTTGATTCTCAATAATATTTTCATAAGCTTTACCATCATAAATATCATTTAATACATCCGTATTACAAGAAAGTCTTCGTTGTAGTTCGAAATTTATTGAACAAGTATTATAGAGAATTTCACGTAATTGAGGAAGAATTGGCAAGCGTAAATAATGACAAAACTGATGATATTTTCTCTTTGAACATTTTTATACAAAAATAACTCTTAGAAAACGTTAAAGAATAAACTATGTTTCTGAACTATTTAATAATATTGTCAATTACATTGTATCTAATAAACTAGTAACGTTACTGAACATTCTCAAAAGTAATTATATTCTTATAAGTTTTTGACAGAGCTCCTTGATCCATTTCATGAGGATGTACGTGTAGATAATTAATGAAAACTCATTCATACCCATCCATGTCCTCTAGGATAAAATATAATCACCAATGGCATCTGAAAGCTTGTACTGAATAAATTATAATTGTTCATTTTTGAATTTACATGTTGATGGCCGTCATACAGTGAAAATAAAAATTGTGTTAATTAAAACCAAAAACGTGACATCAAATGAAACATTTTTCGAGATCTTGATATGTAGAAAGAGCTACGTGATTCACTTTTTGGTGTGTGCAACTGTTAATGAGGGCTAATAAAAAACGAAAGTGTTTTCGTATATTTACATGTGCGTGTATTGCGTAGCAGATCAAATTACTAAGATAAAATATAGAAACACAATTAATGATCAAAAACTGACATACTCTTTGTTTTATTATCTTTGAATTTTCCTTTCATTTCTGTTTGATCATTAGTAGAAAAAAGAACAAGTGTTATACAAGTATATTAGCACACATGTCTATATATTTTATATGAAGAAAAGTGTGTACGAGTGAATTATGGAAACTCATCGTCACAATAGTCTTGTTCACAAGCAAATTAAAGAAATTCGTTTAGAAGAAATTGTTACAATGAAGTAAGTGTTGTAGAATAACACTTTGCTCCTCAAATATTTTAAACTTCAAATCTGTGCCCGTTTGAATACTTTTTTCAATTGTTTTCAATAGCTAAAAATACATCAATTCTTGATCTTAGAATTAATTACTAATATACGTTATGAGAAAACGCCTTCTCACTTGGTGCAGCCGATTTCGTTTTATAATAGAACTGTTGAAGAACGTAAAGATAGTTTTAATTAAAAACAGCTGTGTCACGCAAACCCCATGGAAGTTAAGTGTGAAACACTACATAATTGTTATTTCACTCTCCAGAGGTAGCATTGCTGCATATCTGTTAGATAAAATTGTCGATTGACTTTGAGATATCAAAATAGAGGACGTCGAAAAAACTGTTTCTATATTATTAAGTTATCTTTTCTAGATCTAAATAATTGTTTTAAAACTGAAACGGACGGGAAAATAGCCACACCCACAACCTTAAAAAAGCAGCTTTCTATAATTCTTTTATCTCATTAGTATAAGTGCTATCTATTCGAATGATAATTGCGAACTTACACCTCCGATGGAAAAGAAAGAAAAACAACACGAATATCCTCGTCGTCGTCGTCAACAACCTCAACAATACATCGAGTACGGTCACACTCGTTTTGAATGGATTCAGCTTATCGCAACCCTTACTGTCCCAATTGCTATCGCTATATTTACGATTCTTGATAGTGTCCAACAAATGAATCAAAGTAAAAATCAATTTAATGTACAATTACGTATTGCCGCGGAGAATCGCGAAACAGACCTACACATTGCATCAGAAAATCGTCAAAAGGATTTGGATATTGCATCTGAAAATCGATGGAAAGATTACAAAATAGCCGAAGAAACTCGCCTTAAAGATCGAGAAGTTGCCGACGATGAACAAAAACACAGTATGCTCATTGATCATCAAACGTTTTTAAGTAAACTTATTTTGAAAGAAGGTGTTCATTTAAACAATACTAATTATGAAGCAGCACGTTTTGTTGCACGTTTCAAAACATTAATTGCATTTCGCCAGTTGGATCCAAAACGTAAAACTCTCTTGTTTAAATCATTGTACGTCGGAAAACTGGCTGGTCGTCTCGATGAAGATATGGCCATTGATTTATCATCAGCTGATCTAAGTAACATTGATTTCGCTTCACCACGTGATCACATAGCATTGACACCTCCATCTTCACATCCATACTATTCTGTGAACTTTAGTGATACAAATCTGAAGAATGCATCATTTAATTCTGTCTCATTTTTCAACGTCAGTTTTGTGGAAGCAATGATGGATGATGTCATCATGTTGTCTACTCTTACAGCATTGATCTCACTCAGAGGTGCATCTCTCTTACGTGCCAAATTTCTCTATTCTCATTACATAAATATTAACTTCGCGACTGCCAAGTTAGATGGTTCATTCTTTGAACAGTTTGAATGTGATCAGTGTTCGTTCAACTTCAGTTCGTTGATTGGTATTCGTATACAGAATTCAAAGTTTGTTAATTCAACATTTACTGATACAAAAATAGATCATTCTTTTATCACCGAAACTGAATTCGGTAGTAATGTTAATATGAGAAATGTATCATTGACAAACTCAAAAATCCATAACTGTACGTTTATAGGTGTTGATATGAGACAATGTGAAATGCATGGAAGTTCATTAATCAATTCAAAGTTTATAAAAGTGAACTTCGACGAGTGCAAAGGACTGACTGATGAACAATTAAGACAGGCAGCCATCGTATCTGAATCAATATTACCGAATGGAACAGTTTATTCAAGCAATTAGCGCTTTCTCAACGACCATTTACGATTAGACTTCTAATTTTTCTAATGTTAAGTATATAGTTTTGACAGAGTGTGAATACGAATGTTCAAAATAAATGATGCTTACCCTCACTCGGTGATAAAACGTCGATTCTAGCCAACTTTACTATAGTACATCTAAATGAGTTAAAAATTAGGACTGGATGACTTTCGATGATGTTGAACACAGTAGTACTTGGATAATTCTACCTCCTCTTATGAACACTCGCTTAATAATCATCATGAAAAATGACTGATAGATTCATTACAACACATCCTATGTAATGATTAATAGAGCGAGGAAATTACTTTAGTATATTGACACAATTTTTGTTGCTTTCAACATCTAGCATAATTTTCATCAATTTATATCATTCAAATCCCCGAATTCTTTGTGCGTATATCTTTGTTTGTACTTGAATTATTGAGAAACCAACTGCACCTCTGTACTTTTGAATAAAACACTTATACTAAGTATATCGTAGATAAAGATAAGAGAAGAGTTTTCATCAATTTTTTGAAGACTACAGAAATTCTTCCCAGGTATTCCTTGATGGCACCAAACCCATCTTGATCTTCTCCTAGTCGAAATGGTATGCCGTACAACGTTTTGTTGCGCTGGCTCTTACAAAGACCAAATGCATAAAGAACAAATAAAGAATTTTTCTTGATTGCTAACTAAATTTATTTTGGCGAAAAACTAACTATTTATGGCGTGTCTATTCAAGTACACGCACATAAACCTACAGACGATATCTAGGGAAATAAAGAAAAGAGAGATGAACAAAAAAATAAGGAGAAGAAAAAGGATGAAAACAAAGAAGATGATGTAATACACCTTCTTTCTAACGTTGTTAGATATTGAATGAGTTCATAGGAAAAGATCAGAAATCTTCATTTAGCAACAGCAAACCTTGGCACATGATCTTTTGACAGTGACAGTTTTCTTTCTGATGACTTTGCAACATGGTTTGCAGCAGCACACAGTTTTAGTTACACAACATTTTGGACCGCAGCAGCATGAACAACAGCATGGATCACAACAGCAAGAGTCACAACAAGAGCAACAGCAAGGATCACAGCATGAACCACAGCACGAACCGCAGCCACAACCACAACCACAGCCGCAACCACATCCACAACCGCAACCGCATCCACAGCCTGGCATATTAATAGTAATAATGAAGTGTAGAATAAAACTAGAGTAAGATGAGAATTGGTTTGTGAAACTATGAGAATAAGTGTGTATATATATATAGGGGGAGACAGAGAGACGAGCAAAGTTGTTTTCAATCAACAAAAACAATTCATCAATGTCCTTATATGACAATATCTGACATGAACATGTAATAGAGTTACATATGAGAAGAAATAAGTAACGCTTTGTTACTATTGCATAACATTTTTCACTTATGTAAAACAACAAAAATATGAAATTCACACCTGTTACCAATGTTTTTCCTTTGATTTGTTTCAGTGTCGAAAACATCTAAATTTAATTGCACATTGATTTTGTAACCACAACGCTCAAAGAGTAAATGTCATTTGATACACTTTTTGATGAAAACAGTGCTAATAAAAAAACAAACTAAATGTTTTTGATGAAAAACATTGATTCTCATATTATAGTACACACATTGTAACATCATATATTAATTGTTTATGAATGAATGTTTCGATGGTGTAAAGACAAGTAAAAGTGAACACATTGATATTTTCATTTCATTTATTGCTTCCAATTTAGATATTCATGATTATATAATTGTATGTCTTTTCATAAGTTACCTTTCACTCTCTCTCTCTGTCTTCATAGATTATCACGATGCATGTGTTAAAGAAATGAAATGAGTAGAAGAATGTTGTAGAAAAAGATAAATATTGTACTTCGTAGATATAAGAATTAATCAAGTCAGTCATAAACGTTAAGAATAATGTAAATAGGGAAAACTATGCTGATTCTATCTGTAAATAATCAGTGAACAGGATAAGAGGTAGAAATATTAAGATATTCTTAGTTATATACAATCATGGCTCGGGAATAAAAATTTAATATTGCTATATACGTATGAAATTTTTCAATTCAGAAATGTTAATAAATTACCTTGAAAGAAGGATGTGATTGTTTACTGTATCTATCCACCATATCCACAAAATCAAAATAAGTGTTCGGTTTCATCAAACACAGAAAAGTTTTGAGAATTCAAAATGTCTTCAGTTGAACATTGTACATTTATAACAAGGGGGAAAAAGCTGATTTAAATCAGTTAAAAATCAAATTTTAATCAAAAAATCACTTTTTAATCATTTAAATCAGTCAAATCATGTATAAATCATTTTTTAATCATCACGACTCATGACAGAAACTTTGTGAAATTACTACTGTAACTGACATAATTAAAACACATTACGTTTATATACGTTATTGGATACACATATGGTATTGTAGAGCACAACAAACAGTTTTTCGGTTTGATTTTATGATAAACATGTGTCCTCTATAGTCGTAGAATATTTTAATATAAAATTTCTTTTTGTCCCTCCATTTAAAATTAAATAATACAGAACGAGAAGAATTTTGTTCGATTTGTTACTATCATTAAGGCAGAAAGATAGAGAGGAAAGATACTGTCGTTTTCTCGGTTCGTTAACGTGTGTTCATCCACATCTTATCGCTATCGCGTGCTCATTTCCATGTTATCGTTGTTCTATTCCGACACGTCCTTTATTTCCCTGAT